GAATGTTTCTAAGTGAGACACTGGTGCTTTTACCACACACAGGAATGTTTCCTTGTGATTATTCGAGATATGCGCAAATTTTTGCGGTTCTCTTCTTTAAACTGTGGATGTAAATACGTGAGAAACTTCTGTCCCGTTCTGTACCACCAAGATTGTTTAAATAGTTAGTTAAACCAGAACTAATGTATTTTATTTCTTATTTTTTGGATTAATAGAAACCTCGTGAAAGGCTTTTCCTTCCTTCCTCCCGTGTTTTTTCTTTATCTCGTCGACTAATCCTTTGTAAGACTTTGCTCGACTCGTGAGCCTTTCTTCAACAAGTTTTCCATCAGATTTTTAATTAATAGTAAGACGTGTTCCAGATATTTTTGGAAATTGATTCCAAAACATACTTGAAAACCCATTTCCGAAGGCAGTAGTTAGTCAAAGACTTGGTCATTTTAATGCACTGCGGTTAACAAAATCTTAAGGGGAAACGAGAACCTGTTAGGCTTCCGCTAATTCATTCATCAAGTAACGATCATTGTATAAAAGAGGAAATTGGAACATATGGTCAGTATTTTCACACGTGGGAAATATTTTTTGTAGCCAACATATTTCGAGGAATTAGGTGCCTGGGTAAATACGAAAGACAGCAAGCTGGTAAGTAAGTAAGTAAGTAAGTAGTTAAGTAAGTTAGTTTAGTAAGTTAGTTAGAAGGTAAATAAGTAAGGATGTTGGTAAGCAAGTAACTAAGTAAGTTAGTAGGTAAATAACTAAGGATGTTAGAAACAGTGGTTGCAATAACTTTTTCCATAACCGGCTGCCGATGGTCCAGAAGGTGGTTGTGCTCTTAAAGAGGCCGTAAGATAAACCCCAGACGCGAGAAGCTGCTCGCAGGCTAAACAGACGGGGGTAAGTGTTCTCATAGGCAGCGGCAGACCGCCAGTCACCAGCGTTTGTTGAATCCTCTGTAGTAAGTAAGGAGATAAGTAAGCAAGAAACTTAACTCAAGTGTAAATACGGATAAAGAGACGGCACTGAGTTAATTGTTGATATACAGAAGTTGGATAGTTTAAGCTACATATAATAACCAATATAACATAAGGTCTATCAATGTTTACTAAATTAAATTCTTAAATTGAAAGATAATTGCTTAATTTAAATTTTACTAACTGCAAAGCTTTTAGGCGATAAGAAACAATATCTAAATTATATTATATTAAAAGGAAGAGATTATTTGTAAATGGAGATAGCTGACTATATCATTCTCAATTTCGTAAAAGTTGATTTTCGACCTGACTGTTGACCAAAACACAGGAGTGGAAACCGCTCTCTGTGGGAGGGTAAAATCAATCTTTTAAATGTTTCCGAATAATCCTGAACCCCTGAGAGTGACTAGCATCTAATTTTTCGTCACAATATAACCCCTGAATCACACATACAGGTCATTAGAATAGAGGAAATGATCACCAACTAAAGATGCTCTTGATGTACATACTGATGTTAGGGTGCAAAGTGTCAAAGCTTGAGATAATGATTTTATGACTTCTTTGGAAGTTCTAGCCACATATTTTCACTCATATTTGACTTTGATGATTCGCCTGTGACATAAAAGTTAATTTTGGCTAGAAATATTTATAACTGTCAAATTTTTCTGTCGTATTGTCGCTAACTTGAAATAAGAACTTCGACTTTTCCAGTTATAGAATGTAAAGCGACCACTTTAACTGCCGTCGTTCACTCGTAATCTCCGGAGAAAGTGGGCATCAGCAACAAAAGCTCTACTTTACTGGGATATAAACAGTAGGACATGACAGTTTGACTTAGTAATAAATAGAGGCTCTTTGTAACGGCAAAGACGACCAAATTCTTGTGGTTACCCTAACAAAACCGCCACTTTTATCCCAGACGCATCCAACCGGGAAAAGCGGCGATCTGAAAAGTCAGACTTATTAATTTGTCTAACTAAACACTGGGACAGATATTTCCGAAACAGTTGATTTTTTTATTGTACCTTGAGTCCGTTTCGGTTAAAAAATTAATCAGTTTTAGTTGTTCCACTTGTCAGAACATGTAAGCCAGTGGTGTGTTGGATAATGAGACACTGAACGAAAGTCGAGAGATTAAAATTTGTAATTCCATGTTTCATTAGGTAAAGTTGAAGGAAGGTTGTTTGCGGTTGATTTTGCCCGCCAGACATGGCGTGAATATTGCAGCATAGAAGTAGAATGATGTGTCCGACAATCTTTGAAAAATTTGCATTCCTAAACGTACTCTAACATCTGTGGAGAGTATATGAGAAAAACGTCGTCTAGTTGTTTATGTAGCAGTTTCTTCATCGCTTGTTGAACTTAAAAACTGTATAAAGAAAGACAACTTTTGACTACTATGCGTGAGCAGAAATCCTTTACCACTCAAAAATTACTTTGGCTAATTCGTGTACTTGTTCATAGGATATGGTTGTTTATGGAGGACTGAGAGCTTTGGGATACAGCTTTATTCTATTTCAAAGCTGATGTCAGAAAAATTGAGGGACCGAACGGGTTAAAGTTTTAGCCTTAATTCTAAGATACTTCGTTTGCAATCAATACCCGCACCGTTCTTTCAATTTGTCATTTCTCCATCTTACCAAGCTAAATGTTTTGTCGTTCCCTTTATATTGAAAGTAATTTGTACAACGCAGCAGGCGATCCAAGGTGTCGCGACATAACGTCTTTAAAACACTATTTGTATCAACCACTGCAACCACATGAGTCTACACGTCGGGGAATTGAATGCTAATGGTTGATTGTAACATCGCTAGGATGCACCTCATGCACGCGGGTTGAAGAGCATTTAAATTACATTTTTTGTCTTGTGTATCTAACATTTTGGTTTGAGCGTAAACGTGGAACTTAACAATCTCTAGTGCTAAAATGAAGTCACAAAACTACTACAATTTCTCCCAGCTCTCTTAGAATATTGGGAGATCTCCTTTGGGTGTTGCACAACTGAAATGTCAGAGGTTTTGACCCTCAGATGTTAGCAGATCATGAAATGATTTTGCGCAATTGGATTTAAAATACGAAGAATTCGGCGGAAATGTGTCTGCTAATCCTAGGCCACCCATGATTTTGACTGCACGCTATATTCAAAGGCGTTGCATGGAAGACAGACGATGGTTCGTGCAGAGGAAAGGGCGATAATCTTGAAGAGTGCTAAACAAACAAGCCTGTCCCCTACCGGTCTACAGATCTTCTTACCAGAACCTCCCTCAGTCCCTCCCCCTTTTCCTTGCTGAGAAACCACCCTAAGCTTTTGATAATACTGGCAATGTACACCAGAATCATATAATCTACAGATATAAATTTTAAAACCCAGAATTACCAGTCGTATATTTATGATCACATTACACTTTTGTAATGCTTGAATTCTTGTGCACAGGAAATTAGATAGATGTGTGAGCTTTAAAATAGAACTCCAACGTGTGCAATGATTCATGATCATGTAAAACTTTTTCGTGTCTTTGGATAGGAAATGCAAAAATCAAAAACAAGATTTCGTGAAGGAGTTTTCGACCCGGAAGTATCAGAAGATCCAATACTGGACGATTTGCACTTGTAATTAATTAACTATCACTTAAACGGCATCATTGTATTTCTTGTTACAGCAATGATTGAAAGCTTTCTGGATGACCCTAGCTTTTCAGGGAACAAACTGTAGGTACAAGTAATCAAACGTGCTCAGGACAAGAGCCTAAAACCACAAACAAACTTTTGGAGTGCATCGCAGCACGTTTCATCTTAAAATCTCAAACTTTTTTTTTGTTTGTTTTTTTTTTGTTTGATATTCGCATAGGTTACGTCGATCATTTCAAGTAACTTATAATTGATTCGACTTAGTGAAACAAACCCAATTTATCCTTCAAGAGAAAATTAATCATAACGATTGATTTCAATAAGAAATACCCCTTGGCTTACATTTAGCGTTGAACAATCGCCTTAATGTTCTTTTAAGTGTTTTTTTCATTAATCCTTTAGTGGATTGTTATAGTAAACTCCTCCTCGTTATCTTGTTTACGTTTTTTTCTAAATGCTTCGCGATTTTAAATGAAAAAAATACGGCTTGATATCACTTCACGTATATTGCAAGTTAAAAGATCACGCACATAGAGAGTCATTTAAGGATGAAACTTAGGAGTTGTTTTATACTACCAACACTATCTAGACGGTAGAAGTTATTTCCGGTCCACGTTCCAATATTTTTATAAAGAAAAATTTTTTGAACAGACAAAAAGATTTTGTTTTATCCTGAAACAAGCTGAGTTTTGTTGATCACCGTAGTTTGCCGACTTTTGTTTGGTATCCCATGGCGGTTTTCATCTCGTTCTTTGTTATCCTGAACATCATACATGTAGTTAGAACTTTTACAATAACACTTTTTCTCGGAGATCAGAGCAGATTTGGATTGGAAATGACTTTGTGGTTTTGAAAGAAGCACATAGCCATGCAAAAACTAGAATATGTTGCACATTATAATCGAAGGTATGCTGAATTTTAGAGAATTATCTTGTCTTGAGTAGATTTTTCCAGGCAGATCTCAAACATCTAACGCACTTAATATGAAACAAATATAAAGGTATGGATCGTAAAATCCCAGGAGTTCAATAGGTTAAAAGTAATAATATATATATTATAAGAGGGTAGTAGACTTTGCGTGTATGTAGCCGTAGAATTTCGCCGCTCAAACACCATTTCGCCGGACGTGAAGCTTAACTCATCCGGTTCTTAAGCTCATTGATGCGATCGACTTTAGAGAAGCTGTAATGGACACCACCATGCGAAAGTGCTTCCAGCGAAATGTCCGCGCATGACGCATTTTGTCCGGCTGTTCTCTGTCGTGATTGGTTCGTTTTTTGAAGAGCTATTGACCGCTATGTACATCGTCGGGGCCGGAACAATAAAGTGGGAAGACAGACTGAGTCTTAGTTAGATTGTTGCGCTTTTAAAGACGGTGGAGTGTTTTTTATGAGGCTGGCGGTTTGTAATCTTTCTCCTTTATTCGCTTTTATTACTAAATTCCTACACTTAATGCCGCATCTAGTTTCCAATCAAGGCGCCTGGATGGTTCATTCTAAGTGGATTTCTGTTGTAAATTCCTAACGGTAGGTCTTGGCTTAAATTGTCAAAAAATGATTGTTTCTTTTGGTGTTGCCTATTGCGTGTCTTACTCGACGTTTATAATTGGGCTATATAATGTTATCCAACTATATCATTAATAGCCTTAGAATTCTCAGCTTATTAAGAAATCAGCTTACACAAAGAGCTTATGTACTCAATGATGAATGGTTGAGAAAATCTGGATATTGTAAATTAAGTGCTTGCATAGTCAGAAGTAAAACTGTTTTGAATCAAAGAAAAAGACCCTATCCGAAAAAACCGAAACCAGAGAGCGGATTAGAGTTACTTAATTACTCAAATACGGAAACCTCGCCGAGTGCATGACAAGGCTTTTTAACTATTTATGGCGATTTTAATGGTGGATTTTCCTTATCTAGCTTTATCAAGTAAGATTTACATTATGGTATAGATGTATATCGTAGATATACAATGTTGCAGGACTTAATTTAATCACATGCGTGGATGGGCATGGAAAGAAATCCAGAGTGCATCCTACGCAACGGGTTAAAGAAATCAGGTTATTACTTCCGACAGCAAGGGGTTAAAACCAAATAGATCTTTGTGTTGAAAGTACAAATGTCAAAACAGGAGAAATTTTTTTTTGTTGTTTATAATGTATCTGAGATTTGGCCGCAGGATTTGACCTCCAGACATGACTCATAGGACATTTATGGTAATAACCACCTTTAAAGGAGATTTATTTTCTTGTAAAACCATCTAAAAGGATCATCTCCTAAACCACAAAATAGTATTTCGTTCGTTTCCAAAATGGCATTTTAGAGGTTAGCGTCTTAGAAGAAAATTTTATCCGACAATGAGAAAAAGCGGATCAGTTTACTACCATCATGTTTGATTGCACTTGGGTGTTGGCGAGATTTGGCTGATCTCACCGAGCGAGTGGCTTTGAATCGACCGTCCAGAGCAGTTAGCTGATTCTCACCGTCGTGAAGCCGCTATTTCAGGTCAGGATTGCATTCTTTTTCCTAAAGCTAGCTCGTATCAATCTAACCCAGAGCATTTGGACGAATTTCATTATTTTAACTGCAAGACAGAGTTCGCGTAGTGTAAGAGGAGTAGATCCCGTACATTTGCTCTCGATCTCTGCGCGCATTGTAAGAAGCAACAACGAAGAATTTTTGATACGTGTACAGCAACGAACAATAACTTCCTCTGCGACCACGAAAGGCAACGCCTTGGGTAAGTTACGGATATCTGATCGTCTCTTTGGTGATGAGGTTCCTTGACATAAAAAAGACCGAGAAGTGAAAGATACTCCTGTTTTTAGGAGCGCCATTTTTGTCGGTTCTGTTGCAACACACGGATACATTTTCTTTGTCTGAATTAAAAATTGGGGTGTCGCTCAATACTTCTTTATGCAAGGGTAAAAAAATAACGTTACTCTTTGTCATAAAAAACCGGAAAAAAAGAGGCTAATAATATGGTAGGAAATAAAACAAACAAGACTGACTTTTTTCCTCGTGGTATTTAGCAGTATACCTAACTTTCGTTTATCAGATGATTTTTCGTCGTCTGAGTCTTAGTATCGTTATCACAGACATGCAAACACTATGAAGTCAACATCTTCTCCTTAACCCGTGACAAGAATCGAATTTCCTCCAAGTTATCAATATACTTTCAGGCATGCGCTTAATGCGATTACTGTTGAGGATCTACAGAGAGCATAAAAATTAAATTCTTCCAACTTGTTCTATGAGGAAGCACTTGATAAATGCTGAGAATTTGAATTTTGATATTTAAACTCTAAATGAATAACTGAGTAAGGTGGCAAATATAAATTGTTGCCCACTGATGTGAAGAAAGTACTAAATTTCTGGAGGAAGAGTAGAAAAAAACTTCAGATTAAACTTATTACCAGAGCAACCTTAGGATTTGAAAACACGCGAATTCGCCCGCATGAGGTACTTTGTTTAGAGAGTTTGAAATGTCGTCGTAGCCTATGAAACTACGACAATTTGCTTCAATTAAATCATCTTTCGGCCCCAAATCTTTATTTTGGAGTTACGCATCTCGAAAAACGCGATTTGTAAGGGTTTCTAAGAATTATGACCTTTGTCAAATCGGCTTTTTTGCTATTACGGAGTCGTAGAATCTGCGGTTGTTTTGCAAATAAATTTTCGGCGCTTTGCCGCGTTCAAGTAAACGCGAACCGCCTTAATCAATTTAAATTCTTGAAATGTTTCGATTTGTTTAAATGAATCCGAAAATCGCCTTCACTGCGCATTAGTTGTCAAAACACGTGTTAAATTCAACATTGGTTATAAAGACAGACAGGATTTTAAAGCGATGAGCTCCTATACATCTACAGACGCAATTGAGAGGTCTACGAACGCAAATCCGCTGACAGTTAGACCGCAAAGATCTTCGCATGTGGGACGAAGACATCTCAACTGGGCAATATCTGCACGAATGCACCATTTTTCTCCAAATTGACTGCGAAATTGTTTACTACACTTTCATGTAGAGTAAGATGCGGCGGTGTATTTATGTATTGTCGTGATTTGAAAGAAATTGATACTGGAAAATGATTTCCGGTTTCGTTTGACGAAAGGAATGGTTTTGCGACAACTAAAGGATTAAATGCATTAGAAAACTGTCTACGATGTAAAATAATCGGGTCACATCGGAAACGACAAACGAGAAACATGTTGTATGAATTTATATCCACGTAAACGGTATTAACATCGCTCCACCAATTTTGCTCTAAGTTGAAAAAAAAAAAATCTGTTTAAATGCGCATTTCACTCATTGTAAATAAATTTTCAATCGATTTCAGCTGTAGCTAATTTGGAATTGAGATATTTCAAAACTTTTTATACGAGGGCTCAGTTCTCAGTGACCTTAGCAGTTTTCGCATTGCGGGTATGTATCGTTGATATAAATTTAGCAGCTTGTAGTTTAGAATTCATGGATTGCATTCATACGATATTTTAAGCGCTAGGAAAAACCCTGTGGAATGGTCATTTACAAACTATAAATAACATTTTTAAAACGCAAGGCAAGAACTAAAGAGATTTGAAAAAAATGGATAGTAAAGCTTGTTTTAAAAGCCGATTTTAGTGAGCCACGGTTTAATTTGAGAGAAGAAATTAACGGAACGCCATGATGCAAACACTGTAGGCGATTGTAGGAATACGAACTTGATGATGTTATTAGTAGATTCTCAAGTTGTTATCGATTCAGAATTTTGTAAGTGATGCCGAAGCTTTACGATGTGACCAGCACTGATATCTTTTTTAATCAGACTTGGGAGCTGATGTGACTTCTAGACCGTGCAATATTTGTCGTATCTTCGTAGAGCACCAGTTACTGGTGCTTATTGAGAAGTTTGATATAAATATTGAGTTTTGTTTGCGGTCAATAGCAAACGGAAGAGATAAAAAAGTTTCTGCTGCTTGCGCGACTGTTGTGACGATAACGGTGTTTTATATGGCATTTGTACTCTCAATTGCTTTGAATCCAAATTTTTTGACTCGTTTTGGTTGTTATTACGTTGCGAAGATTATTCAGTAGCAGCTATGACAATCTTTTCAGCGCTTTGAACGACATCGGGTCGCTCAAATCAGCTTCATTGTTATTACGAGTGTTGTGATCATCTCAAAACTACCTCGTACCCTAGACATTTTTAGGTAGCTCTGTGTATAAACAAAGCTACTGTACGCTTGTAATCATAACATAAAACTTTTTAAAATTTGTATCGAGTCCTTGGCTGCTTTCCTTTTATGAATTCATTCATTTGAGTTTTATAGGCCGCTACATACGGCTAAGCGCTAAATTGAAACCGTCCTGTGACAATTCGTAATGATTTCCGTGACATAAACGAGAATTCGCTTGTTGTAACTCAACCACAGTATTAACAAACAACCCACCTTGTAGTCAAAACGAAATCAATTTGCAGGCTGTTCCAAACACGCAAATTTTAAGTTTAAAATAATAAAATACAGATTTGTTATGAAGAACTTCTTCATTCTCACCAGGTGATTTGTGTCATCACACATAACGTCGCTATCGACGAGCTGGCTCGTAATTGGTCAATTCTCTTGTCACCGTGGGCGTTCCTTGAGGTCCTGTCTAACAAAACACTCCAGTGAAAGGCCCCGCAAACCGAGGGCACAACTTCAAATCTCCGAAATCTTGAACCATGAAGAGGATATCTTGCAGTGTATTAATAATTCTTCTAATTCAGCAAATTTGTGCAACGACACACAAGAAATATGCAAAAGGTGAGTGGAAATTGTTGCGTTTTAACGCTGCTAAGCGTGAGTCGAAACTCTTAGTTCTTAGTGTGTTTATAATAATTACCCTGGGTTTTTCTCCGATACAGGTCGCACGCTGTTACCTAGAGGTATCTCCAGCAACAATGGTCGCATTGAGTTTGAGATGACAATCGTAGAGCGAGTGAATCGCCTCGGAAAACGCCATTCGCCTCACAAACATTTTGTAAAATACGAATACAACGGATGGGGGATGGCCACAGTTTATTACAGACTTGCCGCGTTTGGTCAAATTTTTCGATTCCGATTGGAGCGCGACGCGAGCTTTTTATCGCCTGCACTTAATGTAGAGCATATTTACGGAGATTTTAGGAGACTTCCATTCTCTGGGAATTTGCAGCACTGTTTTTATCGTGGGGAAATTCAGGGAGAGCCAAATTCTACTGCCGTGTTTAATTTGTGCAACGGACTTGTAAGTACCCTTGTCCTGTTTACATATGTTGTTATAATTGATGTTTTAATTCGCGCTTTGATTTCCAAAGATTTGTTTTATACAACCGTGCAGCGCTGTGAATGTACTGTAACACTCAGGCGGTGTTCCTGTTCCTTACCGCTCGCCGCTCCGTAATTTTAATTCGATTTAGAACAATTCCATGTGATTCTCATTCATGTGATGAAAACATTTGGAAAAATTATCATTTTGTGACCGATGGCGGTATACTCTTTTATTTATGTACTCAATTAACGAGGCCTGTCCGACCGACTTTCAGCCAGGGACATGTAAATTGACAAGTTTACACTCTGAGTTGAAAACTCTTTAAACTGGTTAGTCCTGTGAAGAGGGTTTTTTTGTTTAATGAACGGAATCTAATCCAGAGTTTATTTCACACGGGATAATTTTGAAAAACATTTTTTTCAAGGGCTCGGGTTAGTTGTGGTTGCCATTTCAGATTTTTGGGTTTACAGTTCTACCGGAAGTGGTTTCATGCGGTAATGACCCCCTGGAAATCAATACTAACAATTTTTCGCAACTCGCGCGTTCCCGTCTTGGTGGCGACACCTTGTGCAACTTCAAATATACATATGAAAAAAAAAATTACATTGTTCTTATTATACTAAAACCGCTGGTACATGGGTATTTAATTAGCCAAAAGAATGTCGAGTAACCACTTCCTCCGTTAAGCATATTAATCATGAAAAACAAACAACTTTGGCTTCATGAGAATTGCATATGTAAAATCCCCCTGAAACGCGCGTAGATTTTATTTCCTTTTGATTTTTGTTTTGGATAGTGATAGTTTTAATTTAAATTCTGATCATAAGGTGTCCAGTTTCTCTCCTTCTACAGCATGGTTCGTTCGTCTCAAGTGGCCAACGCTATTTAATCGAACCTGCTGAAGAACGGAACACAAAGATACACGCGCATCTCAGGAAATTCCATATCGTATTTCGTCATTCTGCTCTTGAAGACGATGTTAGCAATGCTCCGTCGACATGTGGACTTGTGGGTAAGTTTCATTTACATTACACACGGTCCGTCTGTGCGTACAATACGGTTAAAAAGAAGTCAACTCAACCCACAATTATGCACGTTTTCCGCAATACAGGAAATTTATCTTGCTTCAAAGTACCACTATTCTATATCTACCTTGACATGAGTTATGACAAAAAGTGCATTTTACGTCACATCATGTCGTGTGCCAAATCAGATAGGACACTGTGAGATCGACTTCAGTTAATACAAATAAATACGCCTTTCAACCTTGCTGGATTGCTAGCGAATCAGACGTTTCCGATTTGTTTTTTTTGCGCCTGAAGAGTGTGTACTGTAACTCTTGGCTTGTATCTGTTTTACTATAAGTGCGCAAATCTGCAAAAGAGGAAAATTTAGCTCTAATTTTTAGGGAGTTTCTTTGCACAACTAACTGTAGCTTAATACGAGTCGACTTAATGTCTCTTTCTGCCGTGTGCGTGATAGCGCGGGAACGCTGCAGAGGTTGAGGCACACTTGACATGGATAGGTTGTCGTGGTCGACACTGAAACAAGGTTGTCTTAGAAATCTCTGACGTAAAACTTGACAGTTTACCCGTGAATCAACCGACAACGACACGATACGATCAACAAACTAACATATTAAAGTTTACTTTTCGTTTTGGCTGTCTGGAAACCATATCTTTTGGATTTCATCTGTCAGTGCCTTTTCTTTCTTAAAGAGGGCGTTTTACTGCTACAATATAGCAAAAATGCAGTTGTTTTACGTCAGAAACTGGCTGCAAATTGGATCAAGAAATTCCTCTCAATTCTTTTCAGCAAGTGGTTTATTGTAATTTGTTATAGAAAGCAGAGACGAATTTAAGCTCTGTGCGATAGCAAAATGTCACTTCTGTTAGGTCATTCCCTAATGACGGAGGGTTACGAATTTTTCAGATTTTCTGAATACCATCTTGTTCCATAAACACGTTTTTCGGTGTTCCTGCTCACCCGGTGACTCCTGTTATTAGTGAACTCTTTACAAGCCTTACAGTCTGCTTATTGAACGCGGTTGATAAACATAAAGAACACGCTCAAAACCTGATGTAATTGAATTAATATTTCTCTGTGAAAACTAAAGAATTTTGCGAATTTGCAAATTGTTTTACAGATGGCTTTTTGTCATAAACACAGCATGAAGTGTAAAGAAATTGACGTACACTCCGATGCTCAATCAGACTCACCGAAAAAATGAGGTCACGTCCAATTTAAAAATATTAACAAGAATCATGCGTGGCCATCTTTATTTTGTGCAATAGTGTTACGATCTTCGTGTTCACGGGGAGCATTCCATGCTACGTTTAAACAGGATTAACCTGCGATAACGAACGGTCGAAACGTAACTCCTTGTAATTAATGCTTTGGTGATCGATTTTAAATGACGATGGTCAGATGCTTAATTGCAAATCATATCCTCTTGTCACGCATTGCCCTTCGCTTGTCACGCAACGCTTTGATCACTTTGATCCAGTAGTAAACAGCTAAGGAACGCCTTTTCCATCAATTATTTTAGCACTGCAGCCGGCCTTTGGTTTCTTAAGTGAATTTGAGGAATTTTCATTCTGGTGGAAGGCTTCTGATGAAAATTTCTGCCGCAGTTCTTCATAGTTTTGCACTCAGTTGGCTTCTTACAAATTGTCATGTTCACTCTTATGCCCTTGTAGTTCTGTGTCTCGTTTGCGCACCACGCACGTTTTTATGGCACTCCTTTGCGCACCCTGTAATGTATCGCCCCTAGATGCGCTCTGTTTTGTTAACTTCTGTGCGCACGCTGTTATGTGCGCTCGATGTTGTGTTAACTTCTGTGCGCCCTCGTGCACCCGCTGTTATGCGCTCCAGTGCGCCCGCTGTTATGTGCTCCCCTGTGCGCGCGCTGTTATGTACGCTCCCAAGTGCGCGCTGTTACTTTCACTCCTGCGTAGTACTATTTTTTACAGTTATGAAATAATTTAAATGATGTTTATTTGTTTCTTAAAGTTCGCCATAGTTTTTTAGCTGGTAAACGAACTCTATATCTGTAATCATATGATTGCAGACAGAATTGCTTTCCACTTGGTCTCAGAACCATTATTGATCGTTGATGTACATGATATGCATGAGGGTCTCAGATTCTTCACAAGATGGTGATCTCGTAAGATTCATGAGGATGCTAATAGCAACTCTGTAAATAGCGGTGGTGAACTCATTCTAATCCTAATCGTGAATATTAACCTTCTTGCTCTCGTGTATGAGGTAAACTGTCTTTCCTACCCTTTAATGGTGGTGTAAATCAGGTAAAGTTGTGCAAAAGGAGATGCGGTTTTTTTAAATCTTAAGCCTCACTTGAATTTTCTTACGAGGGCTTCAGCTTCGAGCCTTTTCATCGCTCACTGCATTTGAAGTAATTACCTCCAACAAGATCACTTTAAATACCGGAGGCAAAATGATTGAACTAAATTTTCCATAACACGACACTGCTTTTGACTCTGATTTTAGATACCAACAAACCTCTCCCGCATTTACGTGGGCAGCCGCAACGACCCATCAATGAAAGCTATACGAGGAGAAGACGTAAAAGAAGCCTCGGTGAGAGCTTCGTTGAAACGTTAGTGGTTGCTGATAAAACTATGGTTGACGCTTTTGATAGCAAAGCCGATTTGGAAAGCTATATCATTACTCTGATGGGTGTGGTAAGTAACATATTATCGTAATCAGTTATCAGTTATTTCTTTTCGTTTGACCTTCTTAAAGTACGTTCAAACGTATATTAAGCAATGGCGAACCAACCCTCCCCCCCAACCCAATAACAGTCAACTGGCGACAAAGTTTGGTTAAAGTTGGATTAGGGGGGCACAGGCGCGCGGTTGCTATGATACTGAAATTGATCTGTATTTTTTTAAAATTGTGAAAAGCTACTCTCTAGAGCGTTCACGACTTTCGTTTTTAATAAGTTTATATAATGGATAATGGATATTTCGGTTTGTATCCTTCTGTGGACAGCGCAAACGTATACGTTCATTACGGAATTATATCGTCACAACTCCTTTTTTTCGATGATCGTCCAATTGGCGCAGGAAAAAAAGGAAATTGCATTTATCGTTTTAGAGAGGAAGTAAAACGAAGAGATTAGCGAAGATGGAGGCATCACGCAAAATCTTCGCGTTGCACATACAACTGTACGTTAAATTTGAAATTCCCCGTTTGGCAGGCGCTTGAGGCTCGGCAAACGATTGCGAAATTTGATTGAGTACAGAAGAATGTGCGGCGCGGTGTTATAAATCGATAAAAGATCCTGATTAAACGGATCTACCTAGAAATAATTTTAAGTACGTGAAACGCATCTGTGACGGAAGAAAAACGCCCAGAAGGAAAGGAGATTGAGGTTGATTTTCATGGTTGCATAATGATTGGATGCAGACTGTAACTTGAAAAACTCGACATGGATATTTTGCTGTTTTATACATTAAATCATTAAAAAGCTAAAGATTGATGTTCACGTGACCAGAGTACTCTCGCATAGGTTCATTGTCGTCTCATTTCACTGCAGCCATTGTTTTATACGGGCTCGTTGTGGAGGTTTGATCGATTTTCTTATGTTTTTTCGCAATATCAAATGGAAACAAACCATGAATTTTACTATCAGAACGGGTAACTTCTGCATTACTAGAAACTGAGAGTTTTTGGTGCGTGTAGAGTGCGAGCAGACTCTCCTTCAGTTTACAGCGAAGTCTTTCGCGCAAGTCAAATAGGGATAATTGATGCTGGGGCCTCAGAATTCCGCGCTGCGCGCTGACATTACTGATTTTTATTTTGACAAGCGCAACGGACTTTGCTAAAAAGCAGGGACTGCTCGTAAAAAATTCGAAAAAAAATTGATACTAAGGCCTCAGAGTTGCGCGCTGAATGCTGATATCGCTGACGCAATTCGCCAAAATGAAGGAACTGCACGTAATTTATGTTGTGTTGGCTTCATTGCTATATTTAATAAATATATTTAGATTCTTAACGATTTTTTTTCTCTTTTCTTAAACAGGTGGCTCAAATTTATCGCGACAGAAGTATTGGCTGCGCTATAAACATTGTTGTGGTGAAAATAGCCTACCTGGACACTAAGAACGTATGGATCTTGTATTAAACCAAATTTTTAACCCTTTACATTGTAACATCAGTAGGCATATTGTCCACATTGTTTTCTATACATTTCCCAAGGTGCTTACAAGTAGAATGTGTTAAATAATCAAGAACTTCTTCAGTTAGTGATCTTTTCATTTTCGTGACCTGATGTTTGATTTAGGAGTGAAATTTAAAGGATAAATTAGATATTAATAACTCTTAGGGGTTTTGAGGGTTAAAGACGCCAGTTGTAATGTCCCGCGGCTTGCATTTTGCACCGCGTAAAACTATCACCAATTGAGGGAAACCACAAATATAAACATAGGAAGATTATGAATATTTTATCAAGAGGAAAGAAGCATTGAAGGAGCAAGGATTAAAATCTTTTATAAGAAGAAAAATTTGAATTATTTGAATTTTAAAAATCACAGCCTTTACAATCATTTCATCGCTGTCACGAACCATTGAAAATTCATAATTGCAACTAAGTAGCGTGCAAAATGGGAACTGCCTTAAGAAGTGTTCTCATTCCCAAGAGTAACCAAGATGGAATTTCTTCTCCCGTTATCCATATCTTTTCAAGAAAATTTGAGAAGAAAGAACCGCCAGAGTTAAAACTAGCAGAATTGTATAATCGATTGGGTGGAAAATTGATATTAAGTTTCTGGGATTGAAAAATATTGAAATGGCGACTGTGCCGTGGCGCTAAGGGCTGCTAAAAAAAATTCATGAGAGATCTTTCCAATGCACAGAAAGCGAAGGAAGTGGTATTAACAGCAGGAATACTCCGTAGAAGCGATTTCCTGTTTTGTTTAATCAGACCACAAATGCAGTGAAGAATCCCGGAAGTTGATCTTCCGCAAAGACGTCCGCACTGGAAGTGAATCGCATGTTTCATCTTGTTTGAATTTAAGAACACGCACAGCTTAAAATTTAGCCAAGCAACGAGAGCAGATAAACTAGGGTTTCCAACGTTCATGGAGGAAAAATATAATTAAAAAAAGACTCTCTTATTCAACTGCTAGCCTGGGGAAATTTGCCAAACCGGTGGGGTTTTTATTACGAATAAATATCGTTTCATCTGTGACGAGCGCAGATGCTTCTAGTCGCTACTTTCAATGAAAAACGGGATAAATTCCTGTGGTTAAAAATGACGAAAAGGTTTGATAGGCTACTTAAAATGGCCAAACGTGTTTGCAGTGTTCGTAAATAAATGATTGTCTGTTTTATTGATTTCAGCCTGGTTTCCATATTTCGTCAGACGCAACGCGAACTCTGAAAAGTTTCTGCCGCTGGCAGAAGAAACATATGATGTCAGAAGAGAGTCAGTCTCACCGCCACGATACCGCCATCTTGTTAACAAGGTAAAATTTTTTGCCAATATTGGGGATGTATTTTGGTCATTCTTGTTTGGAAATGTGAGTTTCAAATGCGCAAGAGCATGTGCAGATTTAGAGAAGGACAGAAAGATTGTGCATGCCAAAAAGTCGCGAACAGTTCCTTCACTCGGAGCAGTTGCGTTTGGTAACATGGAAACACACAAGCATTCCTTGCTCTTCCGGAGTAAAACATTTGGCTGGCACTAAGCGGAGTGAATGATGTACTGGTTGAAAACGCACCCGTCGCCCTCGCAAAGCGCCTGAAACACGAAAAATTTGTTACAGGAAAACAATGATATAACCTTTTATCTAGTTATGTCGGTACCAAGCGCCGAAGAACACAAAAGAGACGCAATGGAAAGCGCTGTTAAACGCAAGCACCAAGCTCCAAACTTCCAAAAACAAGTGTGGCTTGACAGAAACGCGAGAAGAGTCTAGAAAGTGAAGTGTACAGAAAAAGTTAAATAAGAGCAAGGGAAGCTCGATTTACGAGATGTTACATGTCCTGAAGTTTAGAAGAACTTACAAGACACGAAACTAAAACTGTCTTAATTAGCTTTAACATTATGTTTGTATGAACTAGCTGTAGTAACGTTTCCTCAGCAGCTGATTAACTCATTATTTTACTTTGTTTTTTTTTCAGGAGAGATATCTGCAGATCGCCCGGAAAGTGTGACACATTAGGTAATCTGAACTTACAAAATTTAAGAAATCTCGCCAGTGACAAATGAGCTCATTTTCCTTTTAAGGAGTATTAAGTATTGGTGGTACACAGCGATATTGGTCGAAGTTGTCAGATCACGGGAGTCAAACACCCTTTTCCGCAGCTCGCGAGCAAGCCCTAATTATTATTATTATTATTATTATATTTTTATCGCCTTAATTATCTGGGCCTGTTCGCAGGCTTCTTTTTCCTCAGTCGACTAAATTGTCGATCAATGATAAAGTTGTGCTTACCACAATGTATCTGTGGAGGCAATACCCCCTTAATTTGTTGTTCTCTGTGTCATCATTCCTGACAAGCTGTACTGATGTCTTTGTTATTCCAGGTCTTGCAGAGCTTGGAACCATGTGCCAATCATCAAGGAGTTGCTCCTTGGCAGAGGACAATGGACTAAGCACAGCTTATACAATAGCACACGAACTGGGTCACGTGTAAGTTCACAAATTTTTAAAGATAATTTAAATTTAAGAGAGAACGTTCAGTCAGGAGGCTGAAACAACTCACTGCTTATGTTATAACATGCTTCTCAAACCTCTTGAGGGAAGATGAGGTCAACACAGTAAATGGTAAAGATCCATGCTTCCTTAAATTCAAGTACATTCGATACAGTTGATACATTTTCCGATCATGGATAGCACCCTCCATGCTGGCGAGATGGTGTTGTCCTTCTCTAGCCTCGCCCCTCTTCCTTCTCCTCCTTTGTTTCTTCTCCTTTTCCTCCTTCTCCTGCTTTTCCACCTCCCTTAGAACCCTTTCTTTTTCTCCCTATCTCCCCTTCAACTCTCCGCCACCCTTTCTTCTGCCTCTACCTGCGTTTCATCTTGTCCTCCCCCTGTCTCTTTACTTTAAGTTCCCATTCATCTCAACCTATCCACTTCCTCCTTTAAAGGTTTCGTTGTATCAACTGAGTTGACCTCTGTTAACTTTACCTATTTCTTTCAATACATTAGATTTAGTCTTCCTCATGATGGAGATAACAACCTATGTACACGGAGCAGGGGAGATCAACATCTGATGGCCCCCTCATTAAGCTTTGACTCCAAACCTTGGTCTTGGTCAAGCTGCAGCCGAGAAAAGATCACAAGGTTCTTGGAGTAAGTAACAAAACTAGTTTCAGTTTTTTGCTTTAACATGTCGGTTGCGACAATAAATGACTGTGGATATATGAGAATCATAAATGTGAACTGCGGATTAGGAAATAAATCTAAGAGCGATCTTCACAGTAATGAATACTTCTTGAGCAGTCCTGAAAGTAAGGCCTGGAAAAAATTCAAGCCTGTACGGGATTTGAACCCATGACCTCTGCGATACTGGAGCAGTACTCTACCAACTGAGCTAACTAGCCAACTCCGAGCTGGTCATCATGTTGGTCCGTAATAAACCTGTGGCCCGTAAACCCGTGAAACCCTTCTGAATAGTGAAGTTTCATCGTCTGTTTGCAGCTGTAACTTACTTACCTTGCAATCGCCTCTGTTTCAGACTAGGGTATGGATCTTGCCTAGAAAATAAGCCTAGTGAAAAAAATCAATCGAAGTATCATGGCGCTCTGCCGGGAGAAATTTACAGCGTGGACAAACAATGCCAAATGATATTTGGAGAGGAATCCAGGCTGTGTCCATATATGGTACGTATTGTTGGCAAAAAATTTCAGCCTTCTGTAGGGAGTTTTCTCAATATTTTCCTGTGGAAAATGTACGCAAGGCAAGGATTTGCAAAGAATATTTAAGATTTTGTTTGCGAGGCACTGCCTTAGCTTCTGTTCCACTTCATTTTCTATAAGGAACCTTGCAGACGCCTGTGGTGTGTCAAGATGATCGGGAAAAGAAAAGGCTGCTCCACTCATCACATGCCATGGGCAGATGGAACGCCGTGCGCAAAAAGGAAGGTAAATTCTCCAAACTTACCGTCATAGATCTCCGTCTGTGTTAGTATTGAGAGTTTGATATTCTATCATTGCAATATCACTTCTTTGATAATGATCTTAATTCTCACCAGCTGTCTACCTTACAACGCTTTGTTAGTAACTGAAATGAGACTCTACATGCTTATCTATTTTGGAGTCAACGATAAGTGTCTTCTCAAGCCTTAGAAACAAATTTTGTCTTTTGTGGTCAACCCAAAATGCTTATTTCTTGTTTCTTCTCTCTTTCTTTTATTCTGAATCTTCCATTATGAAAAACGTTTCAAGGTTATTTAAAAGTTTTGTGTCTCTTTTTGTTTTTCTTTTCTCTATTGTTATCTCCAATATCTCGAATTGACTGTTCCTATCCAAATTTTATTTCAAACTGTCGTTTTTCACCAACCGCTCTCAAAACGAATGAGCTTTCTTATTGCGAGTAAAAAGCTGTCCTTAAATTTTTCCGATTTGTAGCGGATCTACTCAAATATATTTTAAGTTCGCAAATCTGGACGTTGATGACTCGTGACAACTAATTCGTTTTAAAAACAGTTGGCTTACGTGTTTACAGAAATCTAACCCTTTGGAACGGAACACTTCCAGTTTCCCTCGTTTGTTAGTCCATTCCACGTGTCTTCTTTCCAATTGAAACACGCGCACCTTCGGTACTCTAACAATTAACACGTTCCTTAAGTGACGTTTACCAAATCGAATCTGTCGAAACATGCTGTCATAAACTAAGCCTAATTATGAGAAGGCTGTAATTAAGGATCATCGCTTACTTAACACAATCATCAATCTGTGAACTTCCCGTAAACTTTGTACATACCAACCAATTTTTCGCGTGCGTTGGTTGTCTGATGTTCCCGGTCGTATACGGAATGTCCTGATGATTTTTTCTTGTTTAAAAATAATTTTTCAAAAATACTTCGATTTGATTTCCCTTAAATTATTTTGACCATGTCGAGATAACTGCCGTTTTTGTGTGTGTTGTGCAAGACTATCTAGCCTTAGATGGGGAAAAAAAGTGATATACGAGTTCGGAGGAATAAGCAACTGCAAAACTATTAATTTCATCAAGAGAGATTAAGAATGGCTTGGGATGGTGAAGATAGCTACAGACCGCGCACGACCTTCTCAAGATTCGCAAATAGGGATCGCTTATTTACTGTTAAGTTTGTGATAGACGAAGGTTCTGACAAAACAGCTTTCTGTTATCAAATAACAATTTTAGACATTTTCTCAAATTTCTGCAGATCTTACTAGATCTTTGTAAATGATATGTTCCTTTTTTTTATGTTATCAATTTATCATCAGATACTCGTGTTTGAGATATTTCCTCTTCTACGTTTTGACTTTCACTAGTTGCCAACTTGTTTTCTTCAACTTAATTTACCTGTTAATATTTAAATACTGTTGTTTGTTTGTCATCGCTTTCTACAAATGAAATGTTCGCATATCGTTAATCCCTCAGAATATTTCCGATTTTATTTTAGAGTGAAAAACCACAAGGGTGTTGACTGTATTGAATACACCAATTCACTCAGAAAACATATCAGTCGTTCGGACACTTTTCCTAAGCTCTCAAGATCTGAGCATATCCTCTTGTCTGAAGATGGTATTTCAGTTGTTTTAAAGATAATCCTATTAAACGAAGACCTTTCAAAATAAATCTCTCAATCAATGACAAATTGATACCTCTTCAATCTTTTAAAAACGATATTTTAAACTTGTATCTACATTGTGCAAACTTTGGGACAACCACTGTTACTTGAACCAAAAGCTGTTTTCGTTGGCTGCAAGTAGTTTACATACATCTCATATCCTTTTTAAACTGTACGTTCTCAATGTTGCCCACGTAACAGGGTCGTAGGTCAAACTCATAAGCCGATTAAGTTTAATATTTGTTGTGTTTTTAATTCCAATCACTCACCCCCAATTTTTTTGCATTCTCGAGTGACATGGTTCCCATATGTCACACTTCTTCCTAAATTACAGCGGATACAAATTCTTTCATGTCAAACACGTTCATATTTAACCAGGAGAAAATAATAAACCCATTATTTTCTCTTGGTGTAACATGATATACAACGAGACGGATGTTTCGCAGGGAAAGTTGTCTTCTAATTAGGCCAATTAGATGGCGGCAGTTTGTTCCTTACTTGGAAGTACTGCACAAAAACTTCTCGTTTCTTATAAGGACTTAAAGGAAGTTCCTATCATACCCTATGTTGGAACATCTAAGCCCCCTGCTATGTAAGCAGAATTACGGCAATAAAAAATGTTTATTCATTTTAAGTACACCAGACTTCTTAGTCTAGAAAGTTCTTACGCAGTTACCTAGGCAACGTGCAATACTAGTCTATGCACACTAAAAAGGACACCAGAATTTTGCACAAAGATTAATAGTGCCTCGCCCCTTCCCTCTCTCATGAAATTTGTGATTTTGCAGCAAGCCAACTTCTTTTTCAGATCTCTTTTGTTATTTTATAATCTTTAGATTGCTTCTATCACGAGCGGTTTTCACGGTGATATTCCCGTTTAAAACCACCACACAAAAAGTCGAGTCGCTTCACGCTTTAAGAATCACTGAACTTTCTACAATCCACACTCATCACGGGATTACACCTTATACATTTTAACACTTCACAACCTTTTTGAACAAAAATAATTACTTATTTCATAAAGTCGTTGACAATTAAGTACTAGGTTCATTACAAAAGAAAAAAAGTCTTCGTTTAAATTTTTCCATAACGAGGGTGTAGAATTAAGCGAGCTATCTTTAACTCTTCACTTGAGGTAGACCAAGGAAGAAGCTCGACTACTTAAATGGAATTTATCAAAAATAATTGTTAACTAAAATTTCTTACTTAACTGACCAGTATCAACAACAGTCATTCGACAACAAGTTAAGGTTAATGTTGGGTTAGGGGAGGGATAGGGGGGCAGTTGCCCAGATATTGATATTGATCCAGATCAGCTACATAGGACACTTCAATTGCTGATGTGAAGTTTTTTTTTTACCTGTCTCAGTGGTGCATCAAAGGTCAGTGTGTGAGGAAACGAAAATTAAAACCAGTAGACGGTGGCTGGGGACCATGGGGTTCTTTCAATGAATGCACAAGAAAATGTGGAGGAGGGATTTCTTTCGCATACAGAAAGTGTAACAAACCAATGTAAGTACCCAAATAATTTCTTCATCTAATCACGAAACTGCTGTCAAGCCATTCAGCTTAGTTACTTATGTCACGCGCAATTTCTATTAGCGATAAGCGAACGCCGATGTTCACTTTGCTCGTAACAGAAAGAGAAATAGGACTTTAGCTTGGAACATAATTCTTGCCCTGTTATGCAGTTTAAGAATGTTTTGATCTTTCAAAACTACTTGTTATCAAAGGACAATGGACCTTTATCTTATTTTTTAGCCCAGAAAATGGAGGTAAATACTGCGTTGGAAAACGAAAACGTTTTGTGTCATGCAACACTCAGGTAAGAATGTTGTAATGTGATTTATTTCATTGAGTGTTTCCACTTATTGATAGGCAGTCGTTCTTGCCTTGTGCCCGTCAGCTTAACGTAAGTGTTGTTGGGTTGTTATATTGGCAGGAATGTCCACCAGGGTCACTAGATTTCCGAGCCTTGCAATGTGTGAATACGCATGGGCGACGTCTGAGTATTGGGTCGAGGAGTTTCAGACCGACTCGGTGGCTGCCAAAATATGCTGGAAGTAAGTGAGAACTTCACGTTAAGTTTATGAAGTTTCTAATTGTACTGGTTCTTTTCTAACTGGCTATATGTGTTGTCCTGATACAGTTCGCAAAGAAAATCAATGTAAGCTGTACTGCCGCATGGCTGGCACTGCAATTTATTTCAAACTGAAGGACAAAGTTATTGATGGGACCCCTTGTAATCAAGAGACCACAGACATCTGCGTGGAGGGCAAATGTTTGGTAAGTTACACATTTTACAAAAATGTGATATACGAGTTAACGACGACTTCACAACGACGAAATAAACAATTTCATTGTGACGAAGACGACGAGAGCGTATCGAACATGACGACGACAAATAAATACTGAAAAGACGATACGACGAAGAGGAAAACGACGAGAGCATAACGACAAACGATGATCAATACGAAAGTGCCTCGGTAACGACGACAACGACGGCATGACAACGAAACGATAAGACTATGAAGAATACAAGAACACGTTTTTATAATGACGACGACGACGACTTCAAGACCATAAAGACGACAACATGGCGATGAAAACAATGAAATGAGAAAGAAAACAAATTCTCCAGTAGCCCTGCGTCATATGAGAATTCTGCTTTGCTTGTAGGCTGCTGGTTGTGACAGAGATCTGAGCTCAAAGAAAAAATTTGATAAATGTGGAGTGTGCGGAGGAGACAATTCCTCTTGCAGGAGATTGTCCAGGACATTCAACGAGACAAGGTTTGGTAAGGGTTAGCGGAATGTACTTGTGGATTAGATCTCGGTCCCTTCCACCCCATTTTAGACGGTTATCACGTATTTGAATCCGCGAGGATAAAAAGCTTTAGACAGAGAAAACAACTCTTTTTATCCCTTAAGATTAAGTGAGAAAGTCACGTGATTAAGGCACCCAGGCGCGATTGACATGGCACATTTTCTTACAATATCAATACGTTGTCCAAAGGGTAGGTGAGAAATCTGACAAACTCGCCAGTCGGACGCTTTCGTTTTGACACAATACCAATTCTCTTCAATTCTTAACAAGAGTATGTGCGTCAACTGTAAGGTAGGATTGAAATTCATAGAATCATTGTCGAAGCTTCCACCCCCAAAAAAGACGAGCTGACTTGAATTTACTATAGAAAAAAGTGAATGATCACTTTCATTTGGCCTTATTTACAGGATACAATTACATATTTACGATACCTGTTGCCTCGACGGACATAGTCATCACTCAGTATGGTTGGAAAAATAAAGAGGATTCTAGCTATCTAGGTTAGTATTTCTTTTTAGAGTCAATTCCAGTGTCTTATTTTTTTTTAATCGCTCGTTTATCCTCGTTCTAATACTTATACGTTGAATTAACGCTCTCTTGATAATTCATATGGTAAGCGGGAAGTGAGACTTTTGAACTAGGACTTGGAATAGTTTAGCGTAGGAGGTTTTGCGTGATGTTAACAAAATCTCTGTCCTGGATCTCTCGTTATGGGCGGAGTTTTCGGACTTCAGGTTTTTTAAATAAAAAGTTTAGTTAAACGAAAAGGGAATGGTGTTTATCCGCAAACTTTCAAAGTGCGGGCATCCTAGTTAAATGGAATCTGGTTATACCAGCCAACGGCCCAAATTTTTCTCGCTTCACCTCATTTGCTGTCGGTGGGAGTCGATGTACGCTTCATGCAACTGTCCTAAAGTCCTCTCCGTTCCATATTTTCAGCACTTCAGGATCAAAATGATAAGTTCCTTCTCAACGGAGGAATGATTGTGGGGGTCGGAATAAGAGAATTCCGTGTCCCTGGCGCGAAGGTCTGGTACTCAGGTTCTGAAAAAGCGACGGAACAAATAAAGATTTCAGGAAAAGTTACTGAACCAATCAAAGTGCACGTGAGTATACAGTGCAGCCTATCAAATGGTGTCGTTTGAATAGCAACGTCACGTGTCCATGTAAAGGTAATAAGCGAGGGCGTAATTTACTCCCGGTGCAACTGAATTAGGAAACATCTCGTCGACTCTGGTTTAGTCTCTTTACAAACTAGTTTTTTTTTAATAACGTGAGGAAGCGCCCGAAATACTGACCAACAGCGGATACAGAGCGGTAGAAATGGAAAAGAAATAAATAAATTGTAAGAAAAAGGTTCAGTGAACTGACTTGTAAAGTCCCTTTCCCGTCTCAGTTGTTCTGGGCCAGAGAACTCAATCGTTTCGTTTTGTAAATCTTCAAGATTCCCTTTCTCTTGTCTATTTATGAGTTGATCCAAAGGCTTCTTTGATTTCACAGGTTCTTGAAGTTGGTGACGTATTACCTCCCAACATCCACTACTCATTCAATCAAAAGATATCGGAACCAAGAAAGCTTGTATACATGTGGAGCCAGCTTGGACCTTGGACGCAGTGTAATAAACTATGCCGAGGTGGGACAAATATTCCCGCGTGACTTGTCCCAAAAAGCCTAACACTGGCCACGCAGCCACTGTCACACAACACTTGCCTGACAAAATTTACCACTCTACACTCCCCACGACACACCATCTTAGCGTTATGAAGGAATGAATCAGGAGGCACCTAGTCCAGGCCAGGGATGTGTCAATTGCACTCACTAAGTTCTAGTCATTTATAGAAACTTTCTCGAAGTGAGGTGCGCTTTCCAATGTGACACCATGGTGTCACTTTGATCCTTGATTAAGAATCATGGTGCGCATGTCTGGAAAACTAAAAAAAAGTACATCAACTATGTTCTCATGCTTAAACGCGTTCCTCATTTCTTAAATTTTTTTAAATTTGAAATTCTGTTTTTACCAGGAAAAAGAAACCGCCAACCCAGATGTGTTCGTGCTATTGACAAACAACAAGTGTCAAATTCCCGCTGTGATCAGAGGACTCGTCCGAGCAGTGTATCAGAGCCCTGCAATTTAAGTTGCGTACTCGAGTAAGTAATGCAATTGTTTCAATACTTTTGGTGGGTAAAAGGCTTAATTTCAGTTCTTAAGTTACTTTTACTATAAACTGAAAGGATAAGTAAATAACTTTCCGTCAGGCACACATACAGATGCACAGACAGACAGACAGACAGACAAACAGATAGACAGACAGACAAAGAGATAGACCGAAATACAGACAGACAGACAGACAGACAGACAAAGAGACAGACAGACAAACAGACAGACAGATAGACAGACAGACAGAAATACAGACAGACAGACAAACAGACTAACAAACAGACGGACAGAGAGACAGACGGCATAAGATAATGTCTAACTGATTGACTGCATGATCAACAGACGGACTGAGATAGTAGGACTGAGGGATATACAGAACAAAAGACTGGTTCACATCGTGAATGCCTGACAGTCTGACGAGAGAGACAATGACTGCCAAACAGACGGACAAACAGAACGATAGATTGAACGATTTATGCTTTAGTAGCTTTAGAGGACAAATTGTAAATGACACAAAAAGAAAGTTGGTTTGTTTCTTAAATTTGCAGATGGAAAATACAGAGCTCAGGAGAGTGCTCTGCACGCTGTGGGGCTGGGAACCAGACACGTATCGTACGGTGCATGCGTATTAGCAGTGACCGCTGGGATATTGTGAAGGACAAACATTGTGCAAAAGGTTCAAAGCCTGCCGTGGTTGTTCAGTGCGAAGGAAAGTGCGAGGGAACCAAGTGGGTCTACTCTGAGTGGTCCAAGGTATTTGAACTGGGGTTAAGATAGTACACGAGTTCTGATTGATAGAGAAAAATGTGTTATAAAAATTAGCAAGGAAGCTCTTTAAACAATTCTTCATTTATTTATTTGACTCCTTCAGGATGCATTTGACTTCCTTGGTGTTTATTTGACCTCTTCAGGTTGCATTTGACTACCCTCAGGTGCCTTTGTCTCCTCCAGAGTGCATTCACCCCTAGGGCATACATTCGGACACCCCTTAGGTGTATTCTATTCTTTTTAGCGTAAATTCTACTTCCCACTAAGGTGAATCCTTCTCCCCTCTCCGTCTCAGGACAATAAAATAACCTGCCAGGTGTCAGCATGGCGCAAGGAAACGTTTCCCCACTATAACGATTCCTACTCTCCCACCAATTAATGAAAACTAGTGTCCATCTTTTTTTTGTTTGTTTTTGTTTTTGTTTTTTTCAGTGCTCAAAGAGTTGTGGTAGAGGAAGACAAAACAGAACGGCAGAATGTATAGACAATTTTGGAGAAAAACTTGAGGATCGAGATTGTCGCCCAAGTGACAAACTTTCACTTAATAGACACTGCAATACTTTTAAGTGCCCGTGGTGGACAAAGGGAAACTGGACCTCGGTAATTAAAAAGAGTTCTTGTTTACATTCTCGATTGCTTTATCCTATGGATTTAAAACCATGCTTGTCTGTTTATCCTTTTGCGTGTTTGTCAGGCTATCTGTATCTCTTTCTGTTTGTCGGTCTATCTTCCTGTCTTCCTGATTATCTGTCTGTCTGTCGACCTCTATGCCTGATTGTCTCTCTTTCTGTTCGTCCGTTTGACTGTCTGTCTGTATATTCATTGTCCAACCTCTGCTAAGAACCTTTTCCTAGAAGCAGGCACTCGTCTACAGCAGACAATTTGTCTGACACTGATTGGGGCCTAACTACTTACAGCCTGCATGGGAATGCTGCCAATCTTCCCTTAAATAGTACAATTTGTAGACTGTTTGTTTGGTCAGCTATGCTTGAAATTAATCAGCCAAACCTAACTTTACGTTTGTGAAAAATGATCTAGCAGGGGTCCAGTGCAGACTATCTCCCGGGAGGAGTACTTTCAATATATGAGTGAAAGGACACCAAGAGTTGATGACATTGTAAAGGACCGCAGTATTATGGTTAAAACAAAAAATCGCTCTTGAAACCTTCCGCTCACCGCGTTAGCATCATACCCCCTTGCCTCCCGTCCTATCGCTTGATCATTGTAGCACCTTGCCTCCTCTCGCCAGTATCAAATTCCAACAAATGAGCATCTCATTCATTATTTTCCTCTCCCAGTGTAGTGTGACCTGTGGCTCGGGACAGCGCACCCGTCATGTGACATGTACTGGTGAAAAAGGAACTGTTATGGACACAGCCTGTAATCCGAGTCAGCGGCCAGTCTCGACAAAGTCATGTGACCTCAAAAAGTGTCCGTACTGGTTTGCGGGGAAATGGACGGACGTAAGTTAATTTGAAGTCACTTTGTCTTTGATTAACTTTTTATTTTAAGTGGAAATGATCACCAATTTCAGAAGCTCCTGACTGTCATAGAAATTCTCCTTGTCCTTACTGATCACAGGGAATTTAGAGAAATCAGCGTGGAGAGTATGAATGTTGATGTAAGGGTGTAAAAACTTAATCTCGTAGCCGTCTTCCTGATCTTGTTTATCGTTTCCAGTGCTCTAAGACGTGTGACGCGGGTTTTATGACCCGGCGCGTCCTTTGTCAGTCGGGGGAACCCGTCCCTCGAGTGTTGGATGACATCCAGTGCTCCCCCCTGGCCAGACCAATCTCCCGCAAAGAGTGTAAAAGGGAAGACTGCAGAACGATGCTGTTCATGTTTCCAGATTCAGGCGAAAACACGAAGTATTATTGGAGATATTCGTTATGGACGCCGGTAAGTTTCAATAAGTGCATACAGTATAACATTACTGTTGTTTTTACTTCGTTAAGCAATAAAAAGCCAGTGACCAGCGGTCTGCGGCCTACGAGCACGCTCTCGTGTTTGGGTTTTGTCGTACGGCCTCTTTAGGGCAGCCGCTTTTGGAAAAACTTGTTGAAGTCCTCGTTAAGTTGTTTGAGTGGTTGGTAAATTGTCCTACATCTTCCTCCCTTGTTTTTTTTTTCGCGTTTTATCGGATATTTTTCTTTCACCTTTTTTTAAGAGTTAATTTCTTGCTGTCGTCGTTGTTGTTGTTGCTAATTTTATGAAATGCTTTTCTCTAGTGTTCTGCGACGTGCGGAGAGAAGCCTGGGACACGCTATCGTGATGTTGAATGCGTGAAGGTGAAGCCTGGGTACGAGACTGCTGTAGAAAAGCAGGAGTTGGTCAATAAGAAGTATTGCGAAGAAAAAAAGAAACCCGCTAACAGAGAAGAATGCAAAGTCCTACCGTGCACAAGCTGGAAACACGGGTCCTGGGGCAGAGTAAGGATCTTTTTGCCTCCTACCTTCTTTGCTTGAATTTTTTGTCAATACAGTTTCTACGATTCATTTGCAAGTTTCATGTCAAAGATCACACACTCAAGTTTCTTTAACAGAAAAAAAAGTTCCTCCAAAATGATGCATTGAGAATTATTTCTAACGAGATCGAAGTTGTTAAGAGATGCGATGAAGTCTCAAATGTTTGGAAAATTTTATCAAAGGAAAAAAGAAAGAAAAGAAGTTTTTCTCATTAAAACAAAATCTTCAAGCCTCAGAGACGGTTATGTTGTCTCACATAATAAATTAATATATTTTGTCTACTATCAACAAATACCCCGAGAAACCATGGAATTATGATTACTATTCTTAGGAGGTAACATGGTTACTATTCTTAGGAGGTAACCATGGTTACTATTCTCAGGGTAATCATAGCTACTATTCTCAGGGTAACCATGGTAACAGGCGATGGTCAAACATGCCTCCTCGGAGTAATAGAAACGGTTCTAGTAGCCCCACGCTGCTGAAACCAGGATAAGTTCCAGATTTGTTTGCTTCAATAGGTTTGCCTTCAGATTTTATCTAATCTTTGTTCAATTGCAGTGCTCTCAGCCTTGTGGCTGGGGTTTTCAGCTTCGTGTAGTCAAGTGCACATATGACAACTGGAAAATAACAGAAGACGAAAATTGCGATCAAAAAATCCGACCAAAGAACAGGAGAGATTGTCAGATCAACCCGTGTAAATCAACTACGCCACCTCCGACGACTCCGCAAGAAAAACCGAGTTGGAAGGAAGGAACGTGGAGCGAGGTAAAATTGATTCTTTTTTAACATCACTTGTTTCTGCGTCGAGGCCACCCTTTGGAAATCACGAGTTTTATGAGACTGCAACAGATCTTTCAAAGATCTGTCACATTAAACTTAGGGCAAATTACCTTGGTTGATAGGCTAAGAACACACCATTCTTTCTGTTATCGTCTACGTACATAATAGTCTTTGAACAGGTCATGTCAACTCAAAGTTATTATCTAGACTGAGAGAGTGCATAACCTCAGCTTAATGTTCGCGAGCAGGGTTGAGTTCCAAATGGAAAAATTAATCTGCCGTTAGAGTTTCCGTTCTCTTTTTGGCGATTTCACGTTGTTGTTTGGCAGAGAACGGCTACGAAATGTTCAAAGATGTAAAACGCACTTGCTAAGCCGTTTTTCTGCATATTTGATATTTCTTTTTTTGCCACGTCCTCATTGTTGTCGGTACATTTCCTCTGTGAAAGTCCCTAATATGTCACATTGTGCCGTTAAAGAATCATACCTGTTTGTTTTCAATTCTTATTTAATACCTTTAACTCCCATGAGTGACCAAGACAGAATTTCTCCTGACAATATCATTACAATATCAAGCAGTCAAGTGATGAGAACAAAGAAAAATATCAACTAGGGGATAATCAGTTGATCCAATACCAAATGCTCCGAACTAGCATCACAAGATTTATATGTCAGACAGTAAGGAGAATTACTAATGAGATCGTGGAAGCTGAAGGGTTGAAAGGATTGCCTCCGGTCACTTCAATCTAGATTAGTTTGTTCCTTTCAGTGTTCTGTCACGTGTGGTCAAGGTGAAAGACATCGGGAAATCAGCTGTGGTTATGACAATGGTCATATCAGCAGCGACTGCGATCCTAACTCCAAACCAGCCAGCGTTATGGAATGCGTTTTACGAGCATGCCCCGTATGGCACGAAGAACCATGGAGTGAGGTACGTAGTGAAGGCTTATTTTGGAAGGAGAACGTTTGAAACTTTCTTTTACCTGTCGTGCTTAGAATGGAAGATTACAGTGTAAAATCGAACCTCGTAGAGAGCAATACATCCACTTTTCTTCTCTGCAGTGTTCAGTCTCCTGCGGTGAAGGCACCAGACGACGAGGTGTTGACTGTAGATTCGCAAATGGCCAGTTAAGCCTCGGATGTGACAAGAAAAAGAGACCTGCGATTAAAGAGGCCTGCAACATAAGACCGTGTCCTACATGGATGACAGGGGACTGGGGCAGTGTAAGTTATCCCTCTGGCGCAATTTCTCAACATATAAACCTGGTCATGAGCGAGATTATATGTGCTTATTAAACAAGCGGGAGGGATTCATGGGAAAAAGTTAGGCCTGAGGTAACCGTATGTCGAGCATCGTCCGTTCCCAACCAAACTCAAGCAAGAAGAAATTTCATCAAATGCTACTATATCTTCTGAATGTTGAGTTTATGTTTGAGTCTAAAAAGGACGCGTTGAAATACATGAGAAGGGCATGCGCTGGATAACTACACAAAATATTCTTATTAAATCTTTTCCTTTTTTTTTCTTTGCTTTAAAATAAGAAACTTACAATTCATCGAAAACGCGATTTTCTTTTTAAGTTTACTTGCACAATAAGAATTCATGTTCTCGGGGCCAGACGGCTTTCTCCGGACTGATTCACGTCAACTGGTCCTTACACAAGTGAGCTTACACTATGATGTCATTGTTCTATCAAGTTGCATAGAGCGTGGCCTTATGGGTCTTATAAAAAGAAACATTTTATTTCACAGTGTTCAGTAACTTGTGGGGCAGGAACTAAAGCTCGTTCCGTGGAGTGCAGTGACAGAGATATCAAATGTGATCCCGGGACAAAACCCGAAACCATTAGCAATTGTGATCTAAAAGAGTGTCCGCAATGGATAACAAGCCCATGGGAAGAGGTATTCTCACTCTCTCACAATACTTTTTGACTTGAAAGAAAATTTAATGAATTTTAATTTAAATTTTTAAGGATTTTTTTTTACTTGGTGATATTTCACACTATTATTTTTTTAGAAATAGAACACACTGTAAAATGTATCCTTACTATTCGAACAACGGGGTTTGATTAAAGAAAGCCATACGGCGAAATGAATACATTTCCATATTTTTAATGGTGTACTTAGAAGTAACAGTTGATCTATGTTATTTTGTTTGCGAAAGTGTTCCGTTTCTTGCGGACAAGGCATAAGAAAACGTCAAGTTGATTGCAAATCTGCGGATGGACAACGGAGTCTTGGATGTGATCTGAAAATCAAACCTGCAGTCAAAGAGGGCTGCAACATTAGACCGTGTCCCTCGTGGATGACTGGGGCCTGGGGCAAAGTAAGAATTCTATCTGGATCTGTCAATCATTTAATTCAATTTTTTTAAAGGGCTTCAAATACACATTTATGGCATCAGTCGCTGATTTCTTTTTCTTGTCCTTCAGTGTTCAGTGACTTGTGGTTCAGGAGTAAAGGTACGCACAGTTGAATGCAGTGATAAAGATGTACCATGCGATGCTGAAACAAAACCGCTGGCCAAGGAGCGCTGTGTTCTTAGGGAATGTCCACAGTGGATCACAAGCCCCTGGGAAGAGGTAACTGTATACATGCATATACTTTTCATTCAAAGGCTTAACATATTATACATGTAGGTATTTTGCGAGGTGCCTTTTATTTTTTAAGTACAAAGGCTCTAAAACAAGTCATTTTCGTTTCATTTTCCCTCCTTTCCGTTTGTACTTTTGACGAGGGTAGACGTATTTCTTTTTCTCTAGTGCTCAGTCTCCTGCGGTGAAGGCACAAGGCAACGCAGTGTTGAGTGTAGACTGAAGACTGGACAATTGAGTCCCGGATGTGATGAGAGAGCCAGACCATCTGCCAAAGAGGCCTGCAACATTAGGCCATGCCCTACATGGATGACGGGAGAATGGGGCAAAGTGAGTGGTCTTATTGGACTTATATTTAGAGAATTCTAGAGTATTCTAGACAAATTTAAGCGAGTGAACTACTTAAGCACTATTGTTTCTCTTCTTTGGTAGTGTTCAGTAACTTGTGGCTCTGGAGTGAATTTTCGCTCAGTCGAATGCAGTGACGAAGACATACAATGTGATATCAGAACGAAACCACGGAACACACAACGCTGTGATCTTCGGGCGTGTCCACGATGGATCTCTGGTCGATGGGGGCAGGCAAGACAGAATTGGCTTATCATATATCGTTTTTTTGTCAAAAATATCAAATTGAATTTACGAGGTATTGAAGAGGATCTTCCAAATAGAGGGCTCTCAACTAATTGTCGGGGAAATAGAGGAAATGGTTTTAAAAACTACAAAGGGAAGAGCGAGCCTCCCCTCTCGTTATATCTTTTCCTCGAGACCTTACAAGACACGTGTTAACTTTAGTCTTTTAACTTATTCCCGGAAACAATGAAAAGCCATTTACTATCATAGAAATAGGAGGAGATAGTGATATAGAGTCCAATTTTTATTAGATGATCTTATCAAATATTTTGGATAAGCTGATACAATTTTTTTTGTCAACTCTCTGCTATTTTCCTCTCTTTATCGTGTTTAGATAGAATCACACAATCTAGTGTATGTCGCTGCTGTAATAAACTTTTCCTCTTTCCTTTTACAGTGCTCAGTAACTTGTGGATCAGGGACCAAAATGCGTTCAGTGGAATGCAGCGATAAAGATATCAGCTGTGATTCTGAAACGAAGCCGTTGACGACTGAGCGATGCGATCTTAAAGCTTGTCCGCGGTGGAATGCAGGGCTCTGGGGAGAGGTAAGACCAAATTTACGTAACACAGTAGTTAAACGCAAGAGGATCGATTTGACCGGCCATGCGCTAATTTCCCCCCACAGAACTCTGGGAAAAACCGCTGGCACAGAAAATATGCGGGGAAAAATAAAAAGGTCGCCAAAATCTATATAAGGATACAAAAGTAGGGAAAAAAATGAAAACTCGAAGCTTTTCGACTTTCCCTGGCTGTCGATTTACGATTTTCTTTGTTACTTTATCAAAAAAAGTTTGTTCGCTTCTTAAACACCTTGACATATTGATTTGTGTAGTTGTCTAAAGCTCTTGTAACTAACTTAGCGCTGACATCTTAGAAACACGCCACTACGCGAACACAACGTTCGCTCATGCGCACATGTGGACCGCGTTCTTAATTTATGCCCCACGTAGAGCAAAATTATTATGCACTGCATTAGATTTAATTCCAAACTGGGTTGTGCGCGCTATCTCTCTCTTTTTTGTAGTGTTCAGTCTCCTGCGGAAATGGTACAAGGCTGAGAACTGTGGATTGTAGATTACCAAATGGTCGCTTAAGTCCCGGATGTGACAAGGAAAATCAACCCTCAGCCAAAGAGGCATGTAACATCAGACCGTGTCCTACATGGATGACAGGAGAATGGGGCCGAGTAAGTAGTCCTTTTAAAATCGTTTTCTGCGCAAATTTTACCTCTGTATGTGGTTGGATATTGACAAATTTTCTTTCGTTTTCTGATGGATATCAAGTGCTCTGTGACATGTGGCTTAGGAGTGAAGACTCGCTCAGTGGAATGCAGTGACATAGACATACCATGCGATGTTTTAACGAAACCAGACACTTCAAAGAGATGTGATCTTGCTAAATGTCCACAATGGGAGGCGGGTCCATGGGGAGAGGTATGTAACACAAAAAACTGCAGAAAAAAAAGGGGGGGAAGCATCCAGTCACAACTCTACCACAGAAACTCGCGTCTGGTAACCCAACAGCTTTGTCGTGTATCCTTCACGTAGAATATCAAAGCTAAGCCCGCAAAGTCCATAACTCGAGTCACAAAAATTTTGCAAAACAAAACAATCAGTCCGCGCAACGTGCTTGCATCAATTGTATGGCAGACAGTGAGGAGAATTAAATTACTAATTACATCTTGGGAGCAATAGGGCTAACTAATTAGAAGCTGACTAAAACCAATTCCGACTTGGGTTCTTCGAGCAAACTGCTTTCACTTGTTCTGGTTCTTGTCATCATCCTTTCATTGTTTGATGTTCTATTTTTTACAATTTTCTTCATCCTTTTTTTACTATTATTTAACCCTCTGACCCCTAAGAGTGATCAGCATCCAATATCTCCTTACAATATCACTCCTGAATCAAACATTAAGGTCACGAAAATAAAGGCAATGATTACCAACAAGAGAAGCTCTTGATTGTTGAGCAAATTCTCCTGTTCAGCACCTTAAGAAATGTATAGAGAACAGTATAGAGAATATGTAAACTGATGTTAGAGTTTAAAGGGTAATACTGTTCTTTTTTCAGTGCTCAGTGACGTGCGGCTCAGGAGTTAAAAGTCGGAACGTGGCTTGCGTTGGAATCAGTTCCAATTGTAATACAAGAACCAAACCACGCTCTACCTTGAGGTGTAACAACTTCCCTTGTCCGAAATGGAGAACAGGGTTGTGGAGTAAGGTATTAATGAATGCCTTTGTGGCGAACACACCGATTTCTTTTCAAATTTTAATTGCTTAACCAGTTTTTCTGAAATTAAGGAAGAGATGATTCAAATAACAGTAATTTACAATGATAACAAACAAGGTAAATGAAATCGAACGAAAAAAGGACAGAAATAATCTAGCTGGCGGCTAACATACTAATACAAAACGATATAGGGACACTAAAGGAGAAATCGCGTCAATCATCCAACCAATCAGATGCAAAACTAAAAATCAAGAAGGACCAGGTCACCTTCGTTTACCCGCGCTGTTGGCAGTTTGGTTGTCAAGTTACTTTGAGTTTTCAGTGCCTTTTGAACTTAGTAATTCTTTCCTGAGTGGCCGTTGTCATTACCTTGGTTATTGAAAAGCACTCCAAGATAAGAACTAAGTAAGTCATTGAAAGCTGGCACAAGCTTGTTGATAACTGTAAGCATGTTTTACTACTGATTATTGAAGTGTTGACCTAGTAATGTCTTTTGACCCCTCTCATGTGACTGATTTTTAGTGCTCAAAGTCTTGTGGGAAGGGAACTAAGACACGCAAAGTGGATTGTGTCGGAGGCCTGGACCATCAATGTGATCCCACGAGCAAACCGGCTTCAACGGCCGAATGTGATCATGGGCGCTGCTCAAAATGGAGTGTTGGAGAATGGCAAAAGGTAATTAATTGTCAGTAATTATCACTTGCTGTAGTAATCATTGTTGTTACTGGTTTTATTTTGATGCTGTTGTTGTTTTTGTTTTTGATGGTAGTGGTTGTTGTTATTTTTTTTGCCACGTTTTCGTCGTTGTCGGTTTTATTGTCGTTGTTGCTGTTGTTTTGAGCTTTGTTGTTAAAGTTGCCGTTATTGTTGTCGTTGTTATTTTCAAAGCTGTCATTCACGCTGCAAGGATGGTCACGGAATTGTTCCATCGAGGGGTCCAAACTTTGATTCAGATAACGCAAAAACCGTTTTTTTCTCTTTTACACTTAAGTATAAATAATGTAAGAAATAATTCAAGATTAAGATTGAGATCAACTTAATTTATGATTAATACCTTGAGTTTACCGTTGATAGCGACTTAAAACAGTGAGACTAACGGCTTTTATTCATCTGTCAAGTAACCACGATGAACAAACACACCTTTTATATCAAGGAATCCTATAAAGGAAAAAAAATCATTCTTGTTTATTGTTTCTAGTGCTCTGTGACTTGTGGCCGAGGCTGGCAATTTCGTAAAGTGGTATGTGTTGGAAGCAGTATACGGTCATGTGACTATAGAAACCAGCCAGATATTTACGCCCAATGCAACATGGGGCCGTGTCCTGTATGGCAGGCGGGAGACTGGGAAACGGTAAGGAAATTCTGTTTTTGTGACTGAGATTTTAGTAGGATGTCTTGGAGTGCCCAATTAATATCATAACTCATCTTCTCCTGCTTGAAAGATCGCGCAAAAATCCCCTCAGAGATTGAGCGAAAACTTTCCAGATGAATAGTATTGAGAAGACCTCCCACCTAAGTAAACGGGCTGGAATTTATTTCGTAGGCAGAAAAAAATAAAAATTTAGTCCGCCAGTCAGGTCAGTCCGGTTTTCGTGCTAACAAACGTTCGCCCAATTCTGATAAAAAATACCAGAGGTTGACAAATGAAATTTGTTTTCTTTGCAGTGTTCAGTTTCCTGCGGAAATGGTGAAAAAAGACGTACAGTTACATGTAGTGGAGGGGCAGGGAATTGTAACGCAAGAAACAAACCGCTTGCCATAACCAGCTGTAATCTTGGTGCTTGTCCTGTTTGGAGATTTGATGCATGGAGTCGGGTAACATATTTTGCATTTACATGTTGCGAATCTTATTTTTAAAAAAATTAAATTTTTCTGAAAAATATTAAAACAAAGAAAGATTTGAACAAATCTGAGCCTACACAAACATGATAGCCGTACTCTTCGTTGCAAGGGCTATGAAGGAAACTTTCCTTAAATATGCACGTGTATTCACCTATTTGCCATCAGGATATACGCTCGAAAGGTCTTGAAATTAGTCAGTAAGGCTGCGTAACGTTCTTGAAAAGACTTCGTAGGGGTTATCGGAAAGTCTTCCTGAGGTTGCAGAACTGTCCAGCTAAAAAAAAGGTTTTAAATTAGAGGCCTTCTTATGAAACACGGTCTTGTACGGAGTCTCACACTTCCAATAAAGTTCTTATTGTAACTTCATCAGTTGATTTAATTTTGTTGATTTCAAAAACAGTTTCATACAATTAAATGGATTTTAAAGCACACTTCTTACCCTTTTACAGTGCTCGGTGTCCTGCGGAACTGGGAGAAGGAAGCGCATTGTTTACTGCAGTGGAGGAAGAAACAAATGTGACAAGGGAAGCAAACCAGAGGCGATAACGTCCTGTAACCTTAGCAAGTGTCCTGAGTGGAAAGTCGGCGACTGGAACCAGGTAAATGCAGAGAAAGAAAGTAGTTCTTAGAAACATGCTTGTTCTTTGGGGTGAATTCGAAGTGCCCTCTATAGTCGTCGGAATAACTTCGTAGATCTTCGGAACTGCCGTTGATGTCAAAAACAAAATGATGATATAGGATCCTAACTTAATTTTATTCAAAGCAAATGAAAACTTTAAAGTGCTTTTCGATTGAGTGTTAACATTGAAGGGCAATTTTTCATTCAGAGTCAAGAGTAATGTGAAATTGCATTTGTTTTTTTTTCGCAATGTGATTGGTCCAGATAACTCGCGCCATCCCCTCAACCAACAAGATTTAAAACTACAACCAATCGGCATCCACATTTTCCCGCGCTTGAGAAATTTAATTGTCTATACTTAGAATTCTGATTGGCTCCTGGTGATATTTTCTGTCTTCTTATTGGCTTGATTACTCTGCCCTTGGTTTACGACTGTCAATCGAAAAGCGGTCTAAAATCAAAACCAATATACTAACAATGGCTCATTAGCACTAAGTTGCCGATGACAATCCAAAGTAAAAACATGTAACCGCGCTCTGGCGAGGGAAATCGCGGGAAGGCAGGTCACCATCGGTTTGAGTTCTGCATCAGATTGGTTGGGAAGGCGGTACAAGGTTTCTAAACCAACTAGAGAGTGTAGTAAAGCTAATGCAATAAATGCAATCTCAGATTTCTTTCCTCGTTAAATTCAAAATTTCTTCCAAATGTCACAGTGTTCAGTGTCTTGCGGAACTGGAATAAAAGAACGTTCAGTTGAATGCAGTGGAGGAAGAGGCAAGTGTGATGCAAGAATTGAACCCGAAGCCAAGACGAGCTGCAACCTTGGCACCTGTCCTGAATGGAAATTTGGTCCGTGGAGCAAGGTAAACACCTGGGTCCATATGGAACAGAGAATCTTAGAGGGGGAGGGGAGGTAGAGGAAACATAGCGCGAGGGTTATTCGAAATAGACAATTTTGAAGGAGTCTTTCTTCATTGTTTCACGTCAATTTGTTTTCCTTCAGGAAAATAATAAAATGTTCTCTGTCCTGATTTGTAGTGTTCGGTGTCATGTGGAAATGGCAAAATAGAGCGCACTGTTGAGTGTTCAGGAGGAAGAAACAATTGTGACGTTGAAACTAAACCACGGGCCATAGCCAGCTGTAATCTTGGCTCCTGTCCTGTGTGGATCACTGGCGAGTGGACCCAGGTGAGATGAATATAGTTAATGTCAATTAGAAGAAACCTGCAATGCAAGATTCTAGGGTGAAAATAGTCCTGAACAGAAACTGCGTTACAACTGATCCATTGGAAACTGAAACAGGATTCATGAACATGTCTTTGAATCGATCGCATGGAATTCGGCATTCTTCGGACATATTCGCTAAAGCCATGTATGCGTGATGTTTTCGGGTGTTTGCAGGGGTTGGGTAGGGAGGGGTATAGGGTGGCGTTGAAAATATTTCTTTTACATCCCGATGTAATTATATAAGGTTAGGTTGTCTTGGTTTCCATTCTTTATCGTTTTCCCTCGTCTTGCAGTGCTCTGTCACCTGTGGAGATGGCAACAGAAGGCGATCCGTGTCATGTAGTGGAGGATTAAGTAAGTGCAACCCTAAGAACAAACCAGAAGCTGTTTCTCATTGTAACCTTGGAGCTTGCCCTGAATGGAGAACGAGCCAATGGAGTAAGGTAGGCACTTTCTTCTACTCATCTGTTTCTAGTTTAGATTCACAACTGATTAATCCATTACACCCTAATATCAATAGAGAAATATGTTTTTTTCGTCTTGTCACGAGCATGGGACAAAGAAAAAATTTTGAGTATCCATGAGAAATCGAACCTCAGACCTTCGGATTCCGCGCTCCGATGCTCTAACCACTGAGCCACAGAGACTCCACTGTGAGCAAGGTCTATTACGAAGTTCATATGACATGTTTCCTTCATACTGCTAGGATCAACAATGTTGATAGCGTAATGTTTGTAGGTAGAAATAAGAGAGATGGTAAGTTTTGAGCTCGGTAAAAAAATAGAGAAAGATGTTTTTGAATTGGTAAACTAATATTAGTTTGCAAGTTCTTCATACTGTTCTCTTTACGTCTGCTATGGTACTTACATAGAGAATTTGCCTAATAATCAAGAGCTTTTTTAGTTCGCAATCATTACCTCTATTCTCACGACCTAAATATTTGATCCAGGGGTGATATTGTTGGGAGAAACTGAATACTCATCACTCTCAGGGGTTAAAGGGTAAAGATCGTATCATAATAAAGGCACCTTGACTGAGTGCCGAAGAACCAAGAGGATAAAAATGATCAATCAGAATAAATTAACTGCTATAAGGAACCAACTAGAATTTTAATAACCTTATGTCAACGGCTTCCAACGCGAGAAACTATATGCTACGGAGTCGCGACTGTTCTAAAGCTTGGATCTGATTGGTTGAGAGGGTGGCGCGGGTTTTCTAAACCAATGAAATAATGCAACACAATTACTTGAAATTACGCTCACAGAGATTACTATTATTAGTGTTCAGTTACTTGTGGGAGTGGCTTTAAACAGCGCACGGTCCAATGCAGCAGATTGGATGTAACTTGTGATCCAAGCAAGAAACCAATAACAACGATGGACTGTGATCTTGCTGAATGTCCAAAATGGCGGACAGGCCAATGGAGTGGGGTTAGCGACCTTTCCATTCTTATTCATGCCACGTGGACCTGATATATGGCCTGTTTTGAAATTTTCAATAAGCTTTGTGAATGTATTTTGAGCTGCATCTTTCTTTCCACCCACCCCCCCCCCCCTTTCCTTTGGTAGGTTTTTTTGTATTCATGCGCGACGCATGTGATCTGATCAATTGGCCAATCGTATTAAGAGATCTAAAACTTGACATTGAGGTTGACGGGGAAATTTCCGTGGACACTTGCGTAGTTCGGTTCATTTTATGAGATTTTTGTATTACAAATTTGTCGCTTAATTTTCATTTGGAGTTTAACAAAGGATCTATGGGCAACCAAATGTGGCGTTTAACACGAAATCATAGCTAGCTTGGGTTTCAGTGCACAAAACGGACTCAAACTAATTCTTTTCCGCTGAGTAAGAGAAATATACGACTTCTTAACAGAGGTGCTCTTGACTTGCAGTGTTCCGTCACCTGTGGAGATGGGAACAAAAAGCGTTCCGTGTCATGCAGTGGAGGAAGGAATAAATGTGATTCCAGCAGCAAACCGGAAGCTGTTTCTCGTTGTAACCTTGGAGCTTGTCCTGAATGGTTAGCAGCTGAATGGAGCCAGGTAGGACGACTGTCTTTTTAAACCCAATTCATTCGCTTATTATCGAAATGCGCTGACAACAGGTGTCGAAAAGCAACCAATCAGAGCGGAGTATAATGCTTCGTAAGGTGACGGGCATGCAGTTGACTATTGCCTAAGACTGGCAGCATGCAATCGAAACGTCGTTATCTAAATCGGTAGTGATTACATCATGAAAAGAAAAAGATTATACTTTTTAATTAGATTCGCATGAAGTTTGTAATTGCTAGTAAACTTAACCCTTTGCAACATTTTATATAGTGGTTGGAGAATTCTGAGAATGATTTAGCCACTTTTAAGTGCACGCGCTTGCTGTTGAATTGTTAATCAAGTAATTAAAGAGTTATGACTCCATTCAACAGCCAGAAACTGTGTTCGTTCGACATAAATCTAGAACTCTTTAACCTTTTAATTTAGCAAAATGAGATCTGTCCGTTAACACAGCGATGGTTAATGAAATGAGCTCTCCATTAACTCATAAAATTCATGCATTTTGGTGAGTTTCAGTGCGTTGTTAGTGCTCTCGCATCGGCACGGCATTGTTAATCGCACGAAGTTTGAATGCTTGCAAATCGGGACCAATAAAGTGATTATAACGATCTATTTCTAGTGCTCAGTTTCTTGTGGAAGCGGTTTCATACGGCGTATGGTTAAATGCAGCAGATCGGACGTCGCATGTGAATCAAGAAAGAAACCACCAACAACAGAGAGATGCATTCTAGATGAATGTCCTAAATGGCAGACGGGGGACTGGGGTCAGGTAAGTGATTCAGTATGGTGTGGGCTTGTTTCACAATGATTGAAACTTTACCCGGGATGTCTCACACTCGGGCTGTGTTACTGGATGACGAATAATTTTACCCTGGATGTCTGAGACCTAGGCCGGGCCCAAGGAGTGGACTTCAGCCAGTGTCATTGTAATTTTACCCTAGATATCTCAATCTTAGGTCGGGTTCCCCGCTGTGCACTTGTGTTTGCGTGTTACTGTGATTTTACCTAGGATCCCCTTCCTAGGAATTGCCCTCAGGCGCACACTTGCGTGCAGACCTTGCTATCATTCTTTGGCGTAAATGCATAGAATGGCATGGCATGTACCCTTGAGTTATCCGTGTTCCCATTTTATCATTTTTGAACCAGAGTTAATGGCTCGTACTCACATCAGTTGTCTTGGACTAAAAAAATGGTTGGTCAGTCCCTTCATCTTTTGCTTTGCAGTGTTCAGTAACTTGTGGCGAAGGACGTAAACAGCGCAATGTCAGGTGTAGTGCAGGACTAAACAAATGCAATCCTAGAACCAGACCACAGACCTCTATCAGTTGCAACCCTGGTGTTTGTCCAGAATGGAGAGTGGCGGAATGGTCACAGGTAAGTCCTCTGACTACTCACAATGGCAGATCCAGAGGGATGGTCGGGGAAGCGGGGAGGGGGTCACAACCCCTCCACCTTTTTAAACCTGTGGGGTATTTATACCACATGTCTGACACCAAAAACTGTTGTAATGGTCACGAGAGTGAAGGAAATGATCACCAACTGAAGACCTTCTTGTCTTGTCAGCGCCTTGGGAAATATGTAGAGAAGGGTTTGGAGAATATATGAACTTATGTTAAGGGTTAATGAGACTTGACCTAACTTATTAACCTGACTCAGCTAGATTTATTTCCGGACGTACCGATCGATTCCCCCAGCTAGAAGAGAAAAAAAGGCAGGAGAATACTTCCTCGAAATGAATGTGGATATACCAAAATTAAATCTCTGATAACTTTGCTGTCATTCTTGCCAGCCGTTGTCCTTTAATTCACGTTTTGTTACTTATTTTATTGTCAATTATTTACAAAAAATGAATGTCGCATTTAGATTTTGATAGACTGGCCTACCCGCCTGGTCTAGCTTTAGTAAACTTTCCGCGGCCAGGAGAATTAACTATAGAATTGCAAAAAAGTTAAAGTAAGGATTGTTGTTGCAGTTGTTTTCGTAGTCGTGAATTAAGTTTTTCTTCGTTATTGTAGTGTTCGTCCTCTTGTGGCGAGGGATTCAAAGAGCGGGTGGTCGAATGTGATGGGGGACCAAATACTTGCGACCCTAGGGCCAAACCGACAAACAGAGCCCGTTGTAACTTGGGACAGTGCCCACACTGGAAAACAGGAGAATGGTCTAAGGTACTGTGGTAATGTTTATTACAGCTCTGTTGTAATCAATCATCGTCGATGTGATTGATTCAGTGGTCGTTGCGCCTCTTCGAGGAACCTCAATTTTGCCTTTCGCTTTCTTAAAGGGAAACTTAAGTACAGAGAAACTGATTTTTGATTTGAATAAGCTGTTATTGTAGACCCTTTTAAAACACCTTTACCGTTGCTACTTTGGGAAGGTGTTGCACAACCACCTCCAAAATATGTGCCACCTTAACTGAACTATCTTTTTCGACTTGTTTGGCAGTGTTCGGTGACTTGTGAAAACGGATATAAACAAAGACTGGTAGAATGCCTCAGCGGAGTGAAGGCGACTTGTGACGAAAGAACCAAACCAGAGTCGATAATTCCTTGTAAGCTTGGGCCCTGTCCAAGATGGAACACCGGAAGATGGACACCGGTAAGTTGTCTCTGAACTCATTTTGCGATTTTACGTCCTTCATTGGAGCGCTTTTCGATCGATGGTTCTATACTCTCACACTTTTTCGTTTGCCTTCCAGAAAAAAGTCATAAAAAATGTGTTATTATTCCATTCCCATTCCAAAACGATAATTGTTGTATAACATCAGAAATTTAATGTTTTTACGAAGGGCGTGCCATTTTTTTACTTTAATTAAAGGTTACCATCGTATCAATTCAACCTCTTCGAAACACCCATAATTCAAGCTTTATGTGATTGCAACACAAAAACTCTTCTGGTGGCCCTCCAAGATTCATTTTACTTCAACGTTTAAAAAGGATCTGTAGTATTGATGCGATAATCGAAAGTGGCTCAAGAGAGGGTTACTATTGATTAAAGAACTATTTATTTACATATTTAAAGAAACCACCTGAGAAACTTAATAATGTGCTTGATCTTTTTGCAGTGTTCTCGCACATGTGGGGAAGGAATAAGGCTACGATATGTAGGCTGTTTTTCTATAAAATACTCCCGTGTATTGAACGACGAGTCTGCGTGTGACATGACTTTGAGGCCTCCTTCAGCCGAAGCCTGCAAGATCAGAGAATGCGCTGATTGGCATACGGGAGACTGGGGGGAGGTAAGAGTCACCATTACGGAGCTCCATACCTAAGAAAATATGGTGATAAAGAAGAACTAGTACATGTTTGATTTTCACAATGCCAAAGGTAAAAATCAAAATGAAAACCATAAACCATACCGTTGAATTATTTCTCAGTAAAGATGGAGCTTGCATATAAATCGTTCCAGGTTTTCGGCAGGGACTAGAAAGTTTCGATGACGTTTGGCAGTATGACAAACAGGAGCTTTCATCGGAATACTCACATATTGAGTTTTCACCCAGACACATAAAAATTGAAGCCGTCTCGTGCAAAATAATGAACAATGCCTTCATCGATCATGATTATTGGAAAGTATTTCCTATGAGTCACTTCTTTGACAAACGAGGAATTTTTAATGGTAATTTTGCAGTGTTCTCGCAAATGTGGTAACGGAATCAGGAAAAGAAACGTTGAATGTAAATCAACGGAACAACAGCGCACACTTGAGGACTCTGCTTGTGCATTTAAGCCGAAGCCTTTCGTCCAAGAAGACTGCAAACTGAGGGAATGTCACCCGGATGCCAAATGGCGTAAAAGCACTTGGGGCAAGGTATGAGAACATCCTTCGTGATCTTAGGGGAGGTTTAACTTGACTGTCAGGAGTAATTGAATACGAAGGCTTTGCTTCTCTCATGGGTGAATCAAGAATACCCGGGGTAGCCTTTCAACCAATCACTCGCAAACTAGAACCAATTATGACTTAGTTAATTACGTTTTCCCACCCTTATGGATGTTTGCTTACTGGTATCATAAACAGACTGCCTCCAGGTGATGTATGTTTTGTTTTCCAAATAGCCGTAACGCCCCATTATGGATTCTCTTATAAGAGACAGTAATAAGTTAAGTAGCCTCACCATTCTTTTGTCTTTCTTCTTTGATTTTCATTAGTGCTCAGTCTACTGTGGAATCGGTGAAAAAACACGTGATGTGTGGTGTGGTACTAAAAACGGGGAAAAAATCGCAGAGGAGTTATGCGCGGACGAACATAAACCTCGAACACGCAGATCTTGTAACAAGCGACGACGCTGCGGTGAATGGGAGAGTGGAATGTGGAGCGAGGTAGCTACGCTCCTTTTGACAACTTCAATTTATATACTTAAGAGAGCAATTTAGTTTCCTCTCAATCCAGTGGTGCCCGATTAATTTCGACCGGAATGCCTGAACAATAATGTGCGCGCGAGAATCAGAGCGAGTTTGCATGTCTGCTGGTCTCGGTGATTCGTTCTTTCTCGTGCGCGTGTACCTTACGCCAACTTATCGCGAGTGTGTGGCGGAGACCACCTAAAGAGTGCAGACCGCAATTACAATTTTCATAAATATTATTTTACATTTATTCTTACAGTGTTCAAAAACGTGCGGAGAGGGTATAAGAACACGTTACATCAGATGTCATCACCAGCTGGAGTACAAAGGAAACATGTTCTGTGATGAAGAGAGGCGGCCAACAGAAAAACAGCCTTGTAACAAAGGGGCATGTCTTCCTACGTTGTACCGCTGGCAGATTTCCGGTTGGAGTCGGGTATGAAATGTTACCACTTCAGTCTCATCACGCCAACATTTCAACAGCCACACACTGGGACTTTAAACTTAGAAGCTCGTTGTACAGCGTGATCTATTCAAGTTAACAGTTCTACATGAAAGTACAGCTCAGGAGCTTTCATTTCAATACCTACTCACGAGAACTCCATTCCACCGACGCACCCTTTTTATAGCTAAAAACAGTATCGATTGAAATGTTATCTAGCCAATAGTCCAAGTTGGATTCAGAGCCATGCGGAATATCCTTGTTAGGAACATAGCATTCAGCGGAGAGTATCCTTGTTTCCCTTATCATTTGAAAAAGGAAACTACATGAATGCCCGAAAATAGCTGTCTGTAAAAAGGTTATGCGCGCCTATTTGGACATCTGTATAACCCCTTCCTTTGTTTCTACTTGTAGTGTTCTACTTCGTGTGGGTACGGGAAAAAGTATCGTAATACTTGGTGCGTTGACTTAGCGGGAAGGCAAGTTAGTAGTGAACGATGCAGTGCCGCAGAAAAACCTGAAACTGTTTCCTACTGCTTCGAAACGAACTGTCCACCCGAATGGAAAGCCGGAGATTGGTCGGAGGTAAATTATATACTCGCTGAATTACAGCCATTTCTGTTGTAGGGATTCGCGTGGCCTAATGCATGGGCTCATAATGTCTTGTTCTTTAGCAAGACAATTGACTCTCGAAATATTAGGGGTTTAGCCTGCGATAGGCTGGCATGCCACTTAGGGGAAGTAGCAAAACTTGTTGTCGCTAAAGAAATCAGGATGAACTCTGGTGGTTCGAGTCATTTTACTTGTACAGACGTTATCACTTGCTTTTGCTTCATGGCCATTGGCATGTATAAACGGCATGGCACATCTTCATCGGAAGAAATTTAATAGCATTTTATAGTTGTGGTTTTTCACATTAAATATCAAAGCACTAAAGCCATGAGTTCTTGTGCCTGCAGTGCTCCCAAACGTGTGGACGCGGTCACCAGACCAGAAAAGTGGGCTGTGTTGCAAAATATGGTAGAACCCAGTCCTTAGATATGCAATGTGACGCACAGAAAAGACCTGTTTCATGGCGATCTTGTAATTTGGGACGTTGTAACTCTCGGTTCTGGAGTGTGGGACCGTGGCATAACGTAAGTAAATTTATGTGTAACTTTCCCTTTACGCAAGGGAGTGGAGACGCATTAGACTGATAGCTGTTCGCACTTGTCTCTAACTCGAGAATCTATCTCTATGGCATCGGAAAGTTTGTCTCTTAACATAGAGTAGCCCATCATAAAACTTAGAACCCTGTCTTTATTTTCTTGCAGTGCAACGTCAGTTGTGGCCGCGGTAACACGAGCAGAACTGTTATTTGTTTGTCAAGAGACGGATCTCCAGTCAGGGATTCAAATTGTTTATCGCCTACAACACCCAAACCAGAAACCACTCGGTCATGTTCTATGAAAGCTTGTAAGTAACCTGAGTTTCTTTCCGCGGCACTCTGTCCACAAATCGGATGCAAATCTGAAACCAGTCACTTTCATTTTATCGCGCTTCAGACAGATGTAATGTGTTTAAGTTTCGTTGTTTTTGGTCCCTTACGATGGTTAGCTTTGATCTAAGCAGATATGTTTTCCTTTGATGTGGCTTTCAGATCAGGGACTTCAATTCAAACAGGTTTCTAGCTACTGCCGCCTATGAGACCTCTTGACGCTGTCTGTTTAGATACTACGTGTGAAAGAGCTCTAATTTCCAACTTAACGTTAAATTTAACAGGTCCACCAGCGAGCTGTAAGGATCTTCAGTTAAATGCTGGATTACAAGTGGATGGTGAACAAACTTTGACTGTCCAAGGAAAGGAACTTCAAGTAAGTCACCGAGCGCAAATTCCAATGCTCTGTTGAAAATCTTAGACTGGATCAGGGAAAAATAGAATTATAAAGAAGAGCGCTTTTCAAATGAGTAAAGAAGAACAAAAAGCCAAGGGAAAGTCAAAAGCCAATGCCAGTAAAGGGAAAATGTTACAAAGAGTCCATAAGAGCTCACAGGTAAACTGCCCGAAGCGCTCACGACGAGCTCACGAAGAGCTCACGAAGAGCTTAAGGGTAAACTGACCGAAGTGGTCACGAAGAGCTCACGAAGATCTCACGAGCAAACTGCCCGAAGCGCCGGGAAATCCGTGTGACGACCAAGCCAACTAAACAAAAACTAATGCAATTCCAGTTTACTCAGAAACGAGATAATTTGGTTTTATCAACTGAGTTGATAATGCAAATTGTCCACCGTAGATAGTTTCTAAAACTGACGTTTCTAGCGTTGTTCCTTCGTCGGAACGAAAGAGCTAACCGACGAAGGGACGAAGCGACGAAGGGCTCTAAACGTCAGCTGTAGAAACTCTTAACGGTGACCAATTCGGATTATCAACTCAGTTGATAAAATCAAATTCTCTCGTGATATTCCTACCCCCTTTCCCCACCGAAGTATCACCACAGTTTCTTTACGAACTACTCCTTTTAATAGCTGTCACAGATGGTTTCATACCTTCGTACCAACTGGAGTGCAAAATCCTCGCCGAGACTGTAGCAAACAATGGTTCTATACCTTTTTGATAAAGCTTGTTGCATTTTTGTTTCTGAAATGATCAAACATGGACTTCATACAGCCCGAATTTAGGTTGTTAAGGTTTGAGACATACGAGAAGTTACCTTATTCTATGAAAATTCAAGCGTTCTTCGTGATTGATATGGTGAATTGATTTGATTTCCTGTTGTTTTGTTCAGGTGTATTGCCATGCAATGATGTCAAAAGAACCTAAAGAGTATATTACACTTAAAACAGGACATTCTGATAACTTCGCTGAAATCTATCCAAAAAGGTAACGCCATCTTATCTTCTCTTTCAAAGGGATTTATTAGTCTTTGACTCATATATTAGTGCGGCAAGTCTATTGCACCTAAATGGAAAGGTATAAATCACCTATGTTTGTCTCAATTCGGAAATTAATAGGGAACTCTGAGAAATAATAGAAGCCGTCGTACTATTAAATCTTAATTGACTAGTAGGAAATTTTTGATTTCGTCTGGACTGTTTTGTGCTTGTCGAATAAAGCTCAAGCCCCGCCTATTTTGTGTGCCGTTTACATGGGCTATTTTTTGCCAAAAAATGACTGTCATGCAGTTATAGTAAGTTGTCAAATACTAAGATAAAATAGTTTTTGGCTAATATACCACGGCGTTTCGTCCCTGCCAGAAAATCATCAAACAATTTTCCCAATTTTCAAACAAACTCGGCAAGTATCTTGCTGAAAGTCCCTTTGCAAAGTTCAAGATGTTGGCAGTCCAGCCCTCTATGAGCAAATGATTCTGAACCACATTTTCAAGGGATATTTTTACATAATAAACTATTTTGAAATACTTCTGTATTATTCTGCCTGTAAAAAGTCAGCCACGAAAGTTATTTCAAAACAAAGGTGCGTGCAGTATCAGTCAAAACTTATTGTAACGGTTTCTTCTGCAGGTTACGTGATCCTAGGAAGTGTCCAGCAAATGGCTCTCATATTGATGCCTGCGACTGTGAAGATGAAGATTTTAAACTGTCTGGAGGTTCCTACTTCTACAAGCTTAGAGTAGACTTGTCTGCCATGAAGATTATATGTAAGTGACACCATGTTCCCATGTATTTTAAGAGGTAATAGGCGACGTCGCCCCAAGTTTTGTCGACCCGAAGTATGGTCGCGTCGCTACCAAAGTGCAGTTGCTTCGCCTCCAACTACCATCTAGGGACCTGCTCTTTACATCATGTTAATATTTAAGTACTAGAGAAAATTGGAATACTGATACTTAGAATAATCATGTACGTGACTACAAATTTTGAAAGAATGAAACATAACTTCCCATAAAATTTTCCATGTTTTAGAACTCTATGGAGTTTGGAACAAGAAAGGATGAACATGATCTTTCTGATCTGTTTTAAAGTACTAAGCTCATATTCCACAAAATTTTTAGTGGTTTCTCGCCTCTTACAGCGTTTTTATTGTTATTATTTGATCCTAACCTTAGCGGAAGACAAGCAATTTGCAGTAAAAAGAGGTTTAAATCCACCGTCGTATGGCACAGCAGGAGACTGTTATAGCGCTCAAGGAAATTGTCCACAGGTGAGAAGAACGGAAGTGGACCTAAAACACATGAAAGTTAATACTCGTGGTTATAAGATGAGAAATCTTTGACTATGTAATGAGTAAGCTTTCGTTAAGCGACAATAATAAGAGCAGTCACATAGTTTAATCGGTAGCCTGCGAGCAGAGGCCTTCATAATTAGCGCTGCAAGACGACCGTTTCTCCGCCCGGAGAGGATTTGAGACGAGTTGGGGAGAGGTTTGCAGTGGGCCAGGCATTACATTATCTGTTCCAGACCCCTTGTAGTACTCTCGCCGGCTCACGGTGATAATGAAGGCCTGCTGGCAGGCTAACTGATGCAAGTGTCACAAGGAGCCAATGAGAACTCATAGCAAATACATACAAATATCCTTGAACGCGCCGCGAAAACTGGGAAAACCAAACTGTGATTGGCTCACGTTTGGCATCTGATTGGTTGGGGGACTAGCGCTAGTTCCTTAGACAAATCAAAACTGTAACAAAATTCGCTGACTTTTGACTGGCGAATAATCAAAGAATCTTCTTCTTATCGTTATCGAATCATTAACGTTAATTTTTTTATATTTTGCAGGGTCGTTTTAGTATTAATTTAAAAGGCACTGGTATTAGATTGACTTCTAAAGTGATGTGGGGTTCAACTGGCCAGGCTTACTCGCAAATTATATACAGATACCGGGTGAGTATATTTAACAAACAGCCTCAACGTCTTTGTTTGCTTTTTCAGTTGTAGATCAAAAATGACGTCAAAATGCGCTAAGAAAAAAACCGGTGCCTCACGAGCTGCAGGCGAGATTGTCGTCGATATCACAAAAATTTTTTCAATTTTCCTTTTCGCGCTTTACCAATCGAGTTCTACATTTCTGTTAAAGATTTTCCCAAGTCGCCAAGAACTTGGTTTCTTTTTCTTGTACTTCTTTTGGTCTCTAGGAACTTTTTCATTTCTTTTTCACGAAGCTACTCAGTGACTGCAGTATATGTGTTCAATCGTAGTATCATTTTTTGTTGAACAGGAAGCTGAAGGACTTCGTGTTCGAGGTAAATGCGGCGGGCGCTGTGGAACTTGTAGCCATGAAGAGTATGGAGGGTTAACGATAGAATTGTCCGAAGGTAAGAGAAAAAGGCCATTTCTTTGATGAATACTAAACAAATCCAAATAATCGAAAATGGATTCTTGATGTTTATGTCAATCCCAGACCCCGCTGACGCACGTTTCCCTTTGATTCCGCAATTTGGAATGCTATTGTGATTTAGCAACTGTGAGACTCGACCTGAGCTCTCGCATACTCGTCTCCAGGCTTCAAATGAGCATAACTATCCCACAATTCCTGCCTAATTGCGCTCTCAGTACTCCAGAATCAGAAGGTCCTCATAAACTTGTTCATAGTTTTGATTTGATAAAGGTTACAAACGGTACCTTTTCTTTTTCAGATGGAGATGGAGGTTGAAAATCAGTTCTAGGTCTTAGAAATTTGTTTCATTGGATGTAAATATTTCCAAGCATAGGAGTTTTAAATTGCAGTTCTTCAAATGCTCATTTAACATATCAATTTATTTCAAAATTCGACTACTCACAGCGGCCTTTGAGTGTCAAGATTTTATTGATGTCGGGAAAATATGATTTTAATGAATGTCCCATTTCCAACTTTGTCACGTTACCTGAAATCCGTGACGCATAATAGAGGGCCATTCTCAAAGATTTATGCGTGACATCTGGATATCACGCAAGCTTGAATAGTACGTTTAAGAATTCGTTAACAGCAGGCTTGAGAGTAACCTTTTTGAGAGAGCTATTTAGGAAGATGTATAAACTATTTGAATATAACATTTAAGCGTTTTAGATAGGGTTTTGTGAGAATAGATATTTTCACTATATATATTAAATTATTTTCTTACTTGGCAGATAACTTTAAATTTCGAAAAAACGTTTAATCCCTATTGTGCTTGAAAAATAGTTTTAAGAGCGGAGATTCTTTTATTCTTTGATAAAGAAAGAAATCCAAACACTGCTTCTCAAAATAGAATTTAAACATTACAGCTCTCTTAAGCTCCAAAGATCTTCTTTCGGTGAAGAGATTCAGTATAATTAAATTATTAATTCCAGTCCTATATTTTTTTTTTTTGGAAAATCAATTACATTTTAATCGATTGGCAGACCGTTGTGGATGATAAATATATATTCGGAAATCGGATGCCTCTACGTCGAAACTCAGATATTGCAGGCGACAAAGTATGTTTGGTTTATTTAAAAGATTTCCTCTTCCACTAACGACAGACGCGGCGAGTATCTATTTCTTGCAGGAAAAGAAACATTTTTAAATAGATACAATTAGCAGATTTGTCGTTATGGTGAAATCAGATGAATGTCAGTCACGTCAGTATCTTAGCAACTACACACCTATCCCTGGGTTAGGGGTTGTTTTGTTTTGTTTTGTTTTTTTGAGGGAACGGGGGGGCTGGGTGCGCAGTGCCCGGATACTGACATTTATATCGGATCATAATTAAGTAAAATTTACGAAATTCTACTTCTTTAGTATAAAAGGGCTCTGTCAGCTTGGAAAATTAATTCGTGTATTTCATTAAGACAAACTTTACCAGGTTACCTCATCTTCAGTTCTATAGTTTGTTTTATTTTGTAAAATTATTTGGCACTTACATGATCCATATAAAGTAATGTAAATTTTTTAGCATCGGAGCCAATAATAGTTTTTCGAGGTATGTTCATAGTTAATAATAAGAGCATGAGCCGTTTAGATTTTATTTTTCCACTGAAATATCGCAGAAGTTGTACAGATTTCAACTTAAAAGCTTATGAGCAGCATTTAAAAATTCTATATTTATTAAAGAGCAGATAAAGCAAATTTTTATTTTTTCGAAAATTGAATTAACTTTTAAGCAACTTGATCATATTAACGCAATCTACTTTAAATAGTGAGCAATGATAGGAAATAACAAATTTAGATAAATATGTTTCAACGTAGCTTCTTCGTTTGTCACGCAATGATGTTGACATGCACGTTCGATCATTGCGTGACAAGCATGGCAACGGTACGGTTTTTGGAAGAAACGCACGCGTTGTCACACAACCAAACACAAAAAGACAAAAGACAAAAATGTAGAGATTTATATATAGTTGAAGTTTATTTATTTTAACTAGCTTGCCCCGTTCAAGCGGCTGCTAGTATGCCTGTACAGATTTTAAAGATACCACTTATGAAAATAAATATGACAATAAATTTGCGGGCTTGATGTGTTTCCTCCCTCCCCCCCTCCCCCCTTGCTCTGGAAATTTCTCCCCTCCCCTTCCCTCCCTACCCCAAAAAGCTTTCTCGGTAACAAAGTTTCACTTCCCACCCCAGAATCAGAATTACCGTTTCTATGGTTTTGGTCCATCTCTTGTAAATCACTTAAAAAATCTTTTAATCTTCTGGATATAAATTCCCCTTTCCAAGCTCCTAAAGCCCATGACGTACAAGGCCCCTTTCAATGTAAGTAGCCCCAAGTTGGCAAAGATGAGTATGGGTGTGTGTGTGTACTGTGAGAGGGGAAGAAATTTTGGATCAATATCAGTATCTGGGCAACTGTCCACCTACCCCTCCCCTAACTCAACAATAGTCAATTGATAAAAAGTGAGGGTTAATGTTGGGGTTAAGGGAGGGTTAGGTGGGCAGTTGCCCAGATACTGATATTGATCCGAAATTTTTATCAACAGGAATCCTTTTTAAGGGGGCTACTTACACTGAGAGGGGATAAAATACCATTTACAGGAAAGATTTAACCTTTATATTTTAAATTCCAGACTCAAACCTGCGAGTATCTTTTTATAAAGAAGGCAAGAGGAGGCTTACATAACTCGAATCTCGCAACAGCGAAACATCCCTTAATCATCATGAATTACTGCTCTTTGTTGTCCTTGCATCTCTTGAGGTCGAATTGTAGCAAGGTATCAGGGCTGTCATTTAGTGCGGGGTACTCAGATCAGTTCACTTAGCGAATCTTAGGAGGGAGGAGGGGGGGCAAGAACCCTCTTTCTCTTCTAAATCTAATTTTTAACAAAATGTTTAACAGCATAACAGTCCCAGCATACCATTTGCCTTTAAAATACAGTCCCCACAGTCCAATTCGCCTGGAAATCTTCCTTGTCTGAGAAATGAACTAAGGTGTTTAACAACTGCCTCTTTCTCTTCTTCTTTCCATAAACATGAGCGACTGACTCTGCAAAGCAAAAGCAAAAATAAGCTTAAAAACTCCTTTGAAAACACTTTCTCTACTTACTCTTTGACTTTGGCGATGCCCGGTTTTTATTTTCCAAGTCCGGATTTTTGTTGCACCGCTGCCTTTTGGGGGAGGGTCTGACTTCTACTTAGCTGCGACAAACTGATACCAACTATTTAGTAATAGATACACCTTTTAATTAAGGAATTCTTCGGTGATAGTCAACCGTTCCTCTGACAAAGATTGCAGTTAACTCAATAAATCAAAACATTTACACCGTTATTTAAAATCTTCCTATCTTCATGCCAGATCGAGTTGTGCGACAACCTACAAATTAAACCATTCACTCTTACCGTACATTCTGTTAAGCTAAATTTCGACCAGAATTTTTTCGTATTTCAGGCCATGTTCGGATGTCAGTCTTCACTAGTTGACTATTTTTCGTTTCTTTCTTCCCGAGAGTTCAAACCACGAGGAACCATAAAATGCAAATGAGCTGAAAGATTAATTTGCACGTGTAAATTCTGCCTCGCACTTCAAGCTTGGAACGAATTTGGCATAAATTTGCCAAGCATAGTTTCTTAAAAGTTTTTGTTGAAGGCTTTTCTTCGTTGATCTTTTAAATAATACCCACCAGATTTTAAAGGTACTTTAGGAAGAGGGGAAAGCACGTCAGAAAAAAGGCTTGGAGAAAGCAAGGGAAAGTTTTTACATGAAGTGGACTTAGTTCACACCCCCGGCAAGCATCGTCAAGCTAAATGTACCCATAAAATACACTGTACTCCATCTCCGAACCGACCTAAAAAAGGGATAGGGCCGCAAACGGATTAGTGTATACTAAAGAACTTATGATGAAAGACAACATGATGAAATAAATTTTTTCGGCAAGGTTACTCTTTTCAAAACAGTACCACTGTAAGCGGAGTGAACAGAAAATCACTCACGCTCGTTTATCGTAAATAAAACAAGCCGAGCTGAGACTTCCGGGAAGGATTACAATTAATATGTTACACATTCGTCTGCCTAAGTTCATTAACTTCCCATTGAAGTTAATAATAACTGGAACTCGCTGTAAAGGGACGTTAGAAGAAACGCCTTAATACATATCTTTGGTGTTGTTTTTGAAATCCATACGATTAGCGTTAGTACAGGTAAATAGTAATCACTGGTCACTGGCGAAGCGACGCAAATCCGATGTCATTCCAAATTATCATCGTTACCTATTGGAAATGTTTCTTAGTAACTTCATTGATGAGAAATGGGTGTTAGTTGTGGATTTCCCATGACATAAACCGTTATAGGCTTGATTTCTGTCAATGGAGAATCTGGGAGATGATGATTGGGAGAAACGCGAAATCTCTTTGCAGTCTTATCCCCTTCCCCCCACCCCCCAATTTTACGAATCTCTTTTCATTTCAATTTTTTTTTTCGGATACCTCATTGGCGCATAGTTGCCACAGAATAAAAGCAAAACTATATACCCAGATCAAAATTAAATGGCACATATCATAAGCACATCATTATGATATTAGCACCCAAATGTTTTTCTTCGTTTTTTTAGAATCGTTTGAAATTTCCAAATAACAACTCATACTCTCGAGAAGTTTGAAAGAATTCTTGAGTGGAAATTCTGCGAAAATTGCTCGACTGCCGGGTACATGACCTGCAGTTGGATTTAAATGCTAAGAAATTCCCATTTGGTTTTTCTCTTTCTGCTTTTCCTTTTCTATGACGTTATTGCAAATAGGAATATCCGCACACATCCCAAATTCCTGAGTAAAACACCACCTAAACCCCATTAATGTAAAATCCCAGGGATTTTAAGGAATCGCGATGACTCCTGCGAGTTCCCAGTCATTCGATCGTCGCCAAAAAAAGTTAAATCTCTTCCTCCAACTTTTCCCTACCTTCAAATCACATTTTCTTTGACATACTTTTCACACTAACTACAAGTTCGAAAACTCTCCCACTGACAAAATTGTTGCAAATAGGTTTATCAGCACACAGCTCAAACCCCTGAGTATAACACCACCTTGAAACCCCAGGGGTTTTAAGGGATCCCTATGACTCCTGTGAGTTCCCAGTTATTCGATCGTCACCAAAAAAATCAAATCTCTTCCACTAATTTTTTCCCTATTACAAATCATATTCTCTTTAAATACTTTTCACACCGACAATAAGTTCGAAAACCCTCCCATCGATTATAATCCGTTTCCTCGCAAAAGAACACAAGTTCTTGTACAATAACAGTTTTAATTCACGTGTTCAAACAAATGCTCTCTTTAATATTCACCTTTAATGATACTTTGTCTAAAAATAAGTTTCAGTCAAATAAAACTTTATCAAAATCATAAACATTGCGGATCTATAACCGAACGCAAACTACGGCATATAAGAAACTTAACTTCAATCTCTTTTGTAAGAGATTCTACACCCTTCAAGTGAAGTAAACAAAATAGTTGAAAATTATGATGCAATGAACATCTAAAATATTCAAAATATATGTTAAATTCGGACTTATTCGACACGTAAAAAAAACACAAATAGTTGTAAGTTGGCATTACAGGCACATTTCAGGTTCTAAAAAAATTTTTAAAAAAACTCTTTTTTCAGACGTCACCATAAATACGTGATCATTTTAACTTCAGACGTCACAAAACAAGTGATCGTTCTAACTTCAGACGTCACAACAAATGCATGATGATCACCAAATGGGAAAACAGTTCAAACGACGTCGTAATTGAATAACGTGTCACCGTGTTTTGATTTAAACCTGAAACCTGCCTACCATCAGTATTCACTTGTAACAAACCAACTTCTCGTTTATACTTGTATTTTTTCCTTTTTTATTTACTACTTTTAAGACACCCAGTGACACGTTTAATAATCCGCTGTTAGTCTCTATTCTTTTCTAGAGACACCAGGGTTTAGTGGCGTAGCACAGATTTGTATGTTACTGTTTAACCCTTTAACACGCAAGATTAGACTGGTTGTTAATTCTACCTTCTAGCTGCAACACATTCTCTTGTAAATTAGTTACAAGAATTTGGTGTTGGATCAGAATAATAACTTACACCAGATAAGTTTGAATATTCTCATTACCTGTTTCTGGATAATGAACGGATATTATGGGAAGAACTTACATATTAATCTCTTGTAAAGGATTAACCAGTAATTTTGACCTGTCAAAAATGCTAACTGTGCATTAAGCTTAAAAAGATGAGAAATCAAACTTTGCTCAGCTCTCAATCCTTAATTGATGCTGTGAGTTTTTGGAAACATTAGGCTTTATATTAAGATATTTCCTTTTTGCAGCATAAGTATTCCTTACATTTGTCCCTCATACAATTTTCCCATAACATCTATATTAATACCTCAAACCCACCAATAAAATGATGAAGATTGTACTTCCCATAAAATAAACTTTTAAATGTTATGATTTGATGGAGTGTTCACCAAGCTTAACCTTCTTGATTACATAGAATTTATCTACACTACCACAATTGTGATGTAAGCAAATGGATAACTTAAATACTACTTTAGAACTAGTGAACAAATCCTAACGAATGTCACTCTGTTAATATACCGCTTACCATCATGTGGTAAGAAAAAAAAAGTGGCACACAAGGTGCAGCCGAGTGTGTCACTGATGTTCTTACCACATTTTGATGTACTCTGTGATCTATTACTGAACAGGCGCACGGCAACTTGGAATCTATTTGTTTTATATAGTAAAGATTTGAAAAAAGTTTTAATGATGACCTCATCTATACGTCTGTCCTCCAATAGATCATGTGTGAGAACCAATCAGAATGCGTGCATAACTGAGCTTATTATATAATTCAAAACAGAACCCAGTGTACAACAGATCACAGAAGACATCAGCGACACACTCAGCTGTGCCATATGTGCTATTTCTTTGTTCCTATCACATTTTGGCATCATCTATTTTCTGACACTGAACAGAAGCACAGCAACATGGAATCAATTTGTTAAATGGTTCAGGCCAACTAAAACTAGCTAAAAAATTGTCCCCTTAGCATAGTCTCAAGACGGCCGTATATCATGACTAGAAATTTAGGTGTTAGACATAATATTTCAACTACTAACATACATGTAACTCTCTCTAAGTATAATTACATAGCCTTTCACATAATTTTATATATTTTGGTTTTTCAAATCAATCAATTTGTCCCTTACAAGCTCCTTTTCCACTATGTTTGGTGAACTAGGGGACTTATGTAAATAAATCATGTAAACAATGACACAGGGAATTTAAATTCCTTAAATAAACTTTAGAGACAAGTCAGTCACACAGAATGGATCACTTAGAATAAAGCTTTGTACGATCTAGAGTAAATAAGGGCTAAATACAACTGAATAACCACAAATATCAGCCCTCAAAACTAGCTTTTCACCATTAAAAGGCTGTTAAGATAAATGTAATTTGTTGTGTGACAACTCAGTTTAAATATATGTCATGTACCATAATGTTATATTTAAGAAAATACTAAAATTAATTTTTATCAATAGCACAGTTTGCTCCCAGGAGTTAAATTTGATTGCATAGTTTATTTGTCCAGTTGGAGTGGAAGGAAGGGCTGATGTCAGTAGGAGCAGTAGCAACTGACACTTCAACATCTCAGTAGAAGCTAACATTTCACTCAAGTGATGAAAAGTCATTCTGACTGCTGACTTCCACCAAGGTTGTCAAAATGCTAGTCACTATGACTAACAGCAGTCCTTTTCAGGATCACTTTCCTCTATGTGATCTGAACATGCAATCAGATTACATTAACCTTTGCAAAACAAATTTGGCTGAAAATTCACCAAAAGCTAAGAGTAATAAACTACTAAGCAGCTTACATGTATCTACTACATTTTCTCAATTAAAACTTTCCCTCCAATGAGAGTCTGATAGAATTTCTCTTAACAATATTTCAATACCACATCAAGCTCACAAGCGATGAGAATAAAGAAAAATACCAATTAGGGGATCATTTAATCCAAAACCAAATTCTCATCACAAAAAAATGTATTGTGGTCAGTAAGGGGAATTAGTAATAAGATCTCGGGAGAGAAAGGTTTAAATATTTACAAAATACATTTAAGCCCTTCAATCCCAGGAGTGACAAATATGAAAAATCTCCTTACAACTTCAATACACTGTTCACACAGAGAGAACATCACACTGGGGGATAATGCTCATTGAAAAACAAATTCTCAGAGCTTAGAAATGTATGGCAGACAGTTCAAGTCCAATGAGTTGATACTTAAAGAGTTGAATGAATGAATGTCCCCAGTTCATAAAAATTTATTGCATATCATCCTACAATCTGTAAATATAGATGTTGACACTTTTATACCATTGTTTCATGATTTATTAGCTCACCCTTCCCATCTGTTAGGCAAGCACCACGTTTGCGCATCTCTGTTTCATTTTCACCTGGGCAACATTTCTGTGCAGCGCAATTCTCATCTTTCCCACACTCCAAGGCACACTGGCTGTCTGTTTCATTTTCCACAACAAACTCTGGTTGGATAGTTGTAGAGTGAATGCCTTCATTGTGAAAGAACCTCTTTATTTTGTTGGCAATGTTCATGTATTCATCTGGAGAACGGCAGGTTATATGGGCTGATGCTGAAAAAACAACAGATTGTTAATACTGTATACTTATCAACTGTGTGGGAGAGCTGGATCAGAAATATTTGGCAAATGGTCAAGACAAACAGTAACCCATGACTGGGAGCCAAATATTTACCATTTTTGCACAATCATTAACTCAATGAAGAAAGATTTTACCAAATCTCTGGTGTTCCTTCTCTTTCCTCCTAGCCCCACTTACACCACAGCCTGTGGCCCTCATACAAGAATTTTTAAGGGAGGTTTGAAATAAAAGCATGTGCAGGGCAATGTGGTCCATAAGATAAATAATGTAATATGTTAGGTCAATTTAGTGACATATCTTCACACTGAATGAAACTAAAAAAAACATCTGTTTGGCAAAACAAAAATAAAAAAATTGAAGAACTCAAACAAAGAAGGAACATGGCTGGATATATATGCCCAAAGAATGACACACTACAAATGACAAGCTTCCTTCAAACTGTAAATTAACCATAAAACTTCAAGTGAAAAATATATGATAAGGTTATCATGGACAGTGATAGTTTTTTCCCCACCAAAATGTGAACCTATTTGTCTGTGTAACAGAAATGTAAATGATGCATACTGTAATACTACACAGCCATTCGGCATGACATATAAAACTGTCTTCTTACACTGTACAATTATGGGCATGGTGATTTACTGTTCTTTTGGTGTTTAATCAGCTAGCTGATGAGCAATCACATTCAAGAATGTCGTTATAATTTTGATTACCAGAAACATCTCTTGTCAAGTTTCACTGAAAAGTAGAAAAAAACTTACCAATAATCTTATTCCCAGCCAATTGCCAAACATGAAATTCATGCACACTCAGCACGCCTTCCACGTTGTCCAACAGTCGATCTTGTACCTCTTTGATCTTGATGTGTGTGGGAACAGTTTGAAGCAAGATCAGGGACGATTCACGCATCAGGGGGATGGATGTCTTCAGAATAAGTAGAACCATGATAATACTCATGCCTGGATCCACATAAATTGTCCATTTACCAGAGGCATACTTGATTATCAAAGCACTGATGATAACAATGACAGACCCCAAGGCATCACCAAGGACATGGAGGTATACACCGCGCATGTTAAGCTGAGAGCTAGACTTGACTTTCATTTGAGAAGTGTTTGATTTTGAAACAACTGTGTGGACCTTCCCATTTCCTTCTGACAAGAAAACTGCTAAAGGACAAACAAACAAAGAAAATGATTAGCCATTACTTTGTGATTGAGAAATGCAATAGCCGAGGAATAGTGCAAAGTAACAGAAAATTCTTATTGTCTGAATGAGAGCCAGCCTGCTAAATTTAAGCAGAGAACTCTCAAATCACACATGGCTAATAAATACCACAAGCTCTGCCTCAAACCACATAAAACATTTATATTGCATGTTGATGCAGTCTGTGGTTTATCCCTGAATTAAAAATTAACGTATGGGTTTCAGACCTCTTCTTTAAACCATAAAAACTCTGAATTTTTTAAACAAATTCTCCCTGTCAGCACCTTAGAAAATGTACAGAAGAGAGAATTGAGAAAATGCACTCTTACATTAAGTTGTTAAGGGATGAAGGATTGAGGCTTTGTTCCACACACCCCATCACACAATTATTCTTTGTTATATCAGTGGGTTGAGAGGAAAAAGTATGGAGAAAGCCAGGAGAGATATGAAGTCCTCAATTTGTTATATCAATTGAATTTTAGCTAGCAGATGGGTGAGACGATAGGAAAAAGGTTAAATAAAGACTCTGAACCAAAACAAAACGAAGGACAAAAGGACAAATGATTGTGTTATGGTGCCACACTAAATTTTTTCATGATAAGCCAGGATTCTAATAATCTGCTTGACCGGCTGGGTCAAAATAAAATCCTTGAGCTGGACATGTACATGATAATGAAAGTTCAACATGTAGAGCTGAGTACATCGGATAAAGATACAATACCTAATCCGAGATATAAGACTTAAAATGGATTTGGAGATGGTCCACCTGATAGTGGTTTCGTAATTTATCCGGTTATTGCATAAAATTAAACACCACAGAAACCCTTTCATAAAGCCGGTGTATTCGGTCATGAACACACGAAATTCGCGTAATTTACTACAAAAAACGTAAAAAGACGTCAAAATTGAGCGCAGCTGTCAACAAGATATAAAGCCCACCAATATCCTTCGCAGCAAGACAAAAAATATTTTGTGTAGCAAGAAATCGGAACAAAAAGATCTATAGCAGCTGATTAGGGTAATCTAGTGAATACCTAGACCAAACTTGGTTGTATCGCATTCAAGAGGATATTATAGAAAGTTAAATAATATTCTCGAAAAAAAAAAAAGGAAATCAAAATTTTGATTACCTTCTGGTACAACGCCATTTGAAATTTCGCTGATCAATTCATTTCCATCTTCGGACGAATGGCTCGACTTCCGCACCATTCCTGTGGTTTCACCATTGTTGGATACCAATAGATCTTTCACATCAGTTCCATTCTGGGCTCCATGGCTATGTCCATGTCCTCCTCCTCCATGGCTATGCCCGTGTCCATGTTTATGGAAGAGAATCAAACCGACTACGTTTATCAACAAACCAGCGACTCCCACAATAAGAACGAGAATAGGATTGTGGATCTCTTCTGTCTCGACTAATCGCTTCAGCGACTCGACAAGGATGGAAAAGCACAGTGCAATCAAGAACACAGCGTTCACCAAAGCTCCCAATACTTCAGCTCTTTGCCATCCAAATGTGTTTCTTTCAGTTCGTTGACTGCGCTTAGAGTACCGCAAGGCAAAAAATCCGATCAGCAGTGACAAAACGTCCGATAACATGTGAAACGAATCGGCTACAAGCGCCATTGAATTCGTCGCATACCCCACAATAATTTCAACCAGAAAGAACGAAGAGGTCATAAAAAGCATCGACAAAACACTGCCAGTTTTGCCGCAGAATCTCTTTTTGAGTTGAACCTTGCGAGAGTCAGCCATTTTTGTGGTTACCTACAAGAAAACTGAAGAGAACTGTAATGTCACTTCAAGTTAAAAAAAGCGAGGTCCTTCTAAAGGAGTGAACTGTTGGCAAATGTGATTTTCCTGTATTTATCAGCCCAAAAGGGCAAATAACCCAGGGGGTCAGTAGCAGTAATGATGTATTTTGAGGAATTTTACGTTGGTCACGCGGGCTGACAAAAATAGTGACACGCGCTGTTTGTCAGGAAAAGGAGTTAATAATAATTGTATACAAAACAAAGAAAAACAACGAGACAGCTCCATTGTTCACCATTAAAAGTGGCAAATAATGAGAAAAAAATTGTATTAAATACCTGCATGGGATTTTTAAAAGTGATGTCCTCTCTTCAAGGAAACGAGAACAACAATAATAAGCAAAAATGTGGCGATATCGAAAGCAAAAATCGTCATCTGACGACTATCTGCGCCCGCGATCTTCGGAACCGATCTCATACCTCGGGTTCTGATAGTCATACCTTAATTGGTTAGTTTTGCTCGGAAGCTTCTCGGCTTATTTTCGACAATGTAAAGTTTATCAGCGGTAATAGAGTACATGTTCATCATATAATTTGTGGGGAATTTTTCACAAATAAAATTTCAGCGCACGCTATGGTTCCTCGCGTGCTAGTTTCAATTCTGCTTCTTGTAAATATTTACAACGCTGTTTTTGGGTCAAATTTGCAAGGTGATTGCTCGAAAGATGGTTCTTGTGATGGAGATGAGGAAAAACGAAGCAAAGCTAAGTACACAATGAAAGGTATTGCTGAGCCGAAATCGATCGTCAACAACTTTTGTTTGTTTATCATTTTGTGACTCGCTTGAACATGTGGTTTTATGCTTTGGTCAGTGAAGTTTAAAAAATAATTCTTATTTCAGAATATCGTAGAAATTAAAATTCCTGATCGCTCGGCAAATCGCAAAAGGAAATCTAACAAACCGCGAGGGGTTTCCATAGTCACATAATTTCTATCGTGTACATGTAGCAAATTGCGTGACTCAGTTAATTTCCCACGGTGACGTGTTAAATTTTAACTGGCTTGACTGTAGTGGAATCAATTGAATTATTAATGATTTAAATTTTTTTCCAGAAGGGAGGGTCTTTTGGATATGGTTTAAGATGATTTATTTTAAAAATACGCAGTGACTAAATGCTCGGCAGCTGGGCACGGTCTCAAATAGACTACATGCCCGGCAGTCAAAGATTTTCACGCAATTTCCGCCGAAAGGTTCTTTCAAACTTCTCAAGAGTATCAAATGTCTGGTAAAGAATGTCAAGCGATTCCAAAAACTTATTTGGTTTTTCAGTGGACAAATTCTCCGAGTTTGTGCATACTGTAATATCACTCGGTTGTCGAAAACTTGGAAATTCTACGCTTCTGATCAGACTGCCGAACACGGTCTCAAATGGACTTAATTGATTAATTTTTGGAATCGCTTGACATTTCTTAACAAACATCTAATACTCTCAAGAAGTTTGAAAGTGCCTTTAGGTTGAAGTTGTGTGAAAATTTTTGACTGCCGGGCATTTAGTCTATTTGAGACCGTGCCCGGCTGCCGGGCATTTAATCACAGCCTTTAAAATGTGGGTACTCATAACGGTACAAATTTGAAACTGTGTGCCTCTTTTATTGGTATACTTTGTGATAATTGAAACACAAAGACCAGGAATGGTAAGAAAAGAGAAAATTAAAATTTGGGAAAGTCCAACCATTTGGACCATTAGATCAACATCCTTTAAGTTCTCAAAATTAAACCATGGTCCAATTTTAGTATTTCCCTTGTACTTTTCTCTTTTGTAATAATTCATGCTGTAATGTTTTATTCACATGTGTGTCAAGCAAAATGTTAATAAATAAATAAATTAACAAAATGATGATACACACTAAAATTATCTTTTTTATTTAAAGAATCATGGAAAAGATATCTTCAGGAAATACAACAAGCTACAGCTAAATACCAAGATTGCTCAAACAAAAAATGTGGTTGCTATAGTGATGTGATTGACGATGATTTAAGAATTTGGAAAGACAGAGGAGGAATCACAAAGAAAGACTTTGATAATTCAGCTGATCGTGGTGTACACTATCAGATTATTGATCATAAACTCTACAGAGAAGAAAAGTGTATGTTTACATTCAGGTGAGCTAAATTCTGTAACACTTTAACTCCTTATATCTTAATCCTAAATCTGTCTATCTTGCCTCTTGACATTTGCTTCTAACTTGGTAGAGAGAATTTGGCACTAGATCAATGGGAAATAATAGTCTCCTGCTGTGTCTGTTTTCTATTCTCATTACCTGTCTGTGGGATAAAGCAAGTTGCAAACATCAAAGTTTCAAGTGGTCCTCAGCCCTGTTGAAAATCTTTGAAGGATCTTAGAGAATCCAACAAGATCTTCATGAGGACCTTTGAGGATCCTCTTGAGGATCTTCATGACAATGTTCAAAATTCTTGTTAAGATCTTCAAGGATCTTTCATTTTCTTGCCAAGATCTTTATGGATCTTTCATTTTCCTGTCAAGACCCTTGAAGATCTTGTTCAGATCTTCAAAGATCTTGACAAGAACTCTGAAGATCCTTTATAGATCCTTGAAAATTCTTTGAGGATCTTCCAAATTCTTGTTCAGATCTCACCAAGATCTTCAAGGATCTTTCACTTTCCTACCAAGATCCTGAACAATCTTGTTGTCAATCTTCAGAGATCTTGTTGAAAAATTTGAAGATCCTTAAAGATCTTGGCAAGAAGACTGAAGATCTTGGAAAGAAAATAAAAGGTCCTTGAGGATCTTGGCAAGAAAAAGAAAGATCCTTAAAGATTTTGAAAAGCAAATTAAAGATCTTGGCATGAAATTTGAAGATACTTAAAGATCTTGGCATGATCCTTGCAGATCTTGGCAATAAAATTGAAGATTGTTGAAGATCTTGGCAAGAATGTTATAGATCCTTCAAAATTTTGGCAAGAAAATAAGCAGATACTTAATGAGAAGTTTATGGGGTGAAGCATGAACTTAACTACCATAGATGTTAACTATTGAAGAATGGATGTAGGTGACAGGTGACAATAGGTTTTAATGGCCAAAAGAAAATACCCCATAGTAAATTAAAAAAAAAAACTGAACCAAATATTAAAAAAATGAAGATAATTTTTTTTTTATTGTTAAGTGAGAATTACTCATCCTCTTTTAGTAGGACTACTTATGCCAGAAGAAAAAATTTCTGATCAGATTTTAGGGTTAGATTTTCATTTTCTGAAAAATATAGCTACAGAGAAGCTCAAAGATAAGAGGACCAAAATATATGCATTAAACTCATCTAGAACTAGTCTATGACCAGACCTAGACTAGTCTTAAGGTGGAGTAAACATAAAAAAAAAAAAACACTTTTTCAAACAAGAGTACCTCAGTTGCAAGGATGGGATGTGAGTTCATTGAACTTGCATCCCATCCTAGAGGAGTGGTACTGTTGAACCTCGATTTTACGCACCAATTATCTGGATTTGTCAATTATCCGGCCTTTTTTTCTTGTCCCAATTTTGTCAGGAATATTTATTAGAAAAGTGAACTAAAGGTGAGTTTGTTTTGCTTTCAAAAAGCAAAAGCAGTGCTCGCACATGTTGTAACTAACAAAGAATTAACATTCAAATGAGGTCTGATTGGCTTAGAGTTGCTTTGTTGCTAAGTGAGATTTCACACTCCATTGGCTCATTTGGTGTGGTATGCAAGATAAACAAGCTCTACAGCATCACACATGTTTATTCATGATCAAGGAAAAGATCATGAAGTTTGCTAACAACATAGAGACCAGTGAAGGACTAAAGCATAATTGCTGAAAGTTGCACATAATGAACAGCTTCATAAAGCCCTGATTAATTTAATTAATTGTTAATACACACACGTAGAGGTAATCACAATGGACAGTGAAGGTGTGGGCCATTTTTTTCTCAAAATGATGCGTAAATGTTTTGTGTCATGATTAAATGTTACTTTCTTAATTTAATCAGTTTTTGTTCCTTGTTAATATTGATATTCTCAATTGTTGTGACCCTCAATTATCCGAAATATTTTGTCGAGTCCCAGCAAGTCTGGATGATCAAGGTTCGACTGTATTACTCCTAGTCACCTCATCATGCAACAGAAACCAGCATAAGCTTTGGCTGAATTGTCCTTTTGGCTCAAGTACAGACTTTTGTTATTGTCTAATCTTTGATGTAAATGCATGGCAGAGGTGAGGGGGAAAGGAAGAAGGCTAGAAGGGGGGGGGGGGGGGGGGTTGGGTGGAGAAGAAGAAGCAGCCAAGGCATAGTTACTTTGTGGAAACCAAAATTGAAAGTGGGGAAAAAGGAGCCCAAACCATTGAAATCATCTTCATTAAAGAACCATTTAATTGATTATATTTCTGACTATTTTAAGATGTAAAGGAGTTGAGCATTTTATCCTGGAGCTTATTGACAATTTACCAGACATGGAGATGAGAATTAATGTCAGGGACTATCCACAGGTAAGATCTGAATTAAAGTTACTCCTTCAAGCTGCCATATTTTTCTTTGAAAATTAATTTGGAGAATATTGTGTTTCATCCAGTTGTCTTTTGTTTGTGGGAAAATTTACTGAATCAATTTTGTGGGAAAAGTTTCAAGCTGGTCCTGCCAAAAAAAGGCTTGTTAATTTCAGCTGTTTTTAATGTTGAAATTTTTTCATGAATGCAGCTCTGATTCTTTCAACTTTGAACTATTTTTTCGTAAAATTATCTCCTAATTGTCACTTGATTAGGTCCCAAAGTGGTCCAGTCCTCTGCCTGTTTTCTCATTTAGTAAGGTAAGATAGAGTCTTCAAGCCACTTTAACAAATGATGCTGATTCCTTGTTTTCTCATTTACTGAAGAGTTGGAAGGAAAAAGCTCTTTTTAACAGATGTTTGCAATAAGCTTCATTATTACTTATTAAAAATACATCACCTGAAAAGATCTGTGATTGCAACAATTTTTATTTGTTGCAAAAAGTTATATAACTCTGGGTCAAGTTTACCATGTGATAATTTGGTGAAACAATGTTTTTGGGTAACACCCTTTGATGTGGGAAGAGGAAGATTATTACTCATTTTAGACCAAGTGAAAGGTGGT